TGGCGATCAGATAGTCAAACAACCCCTTGTTCGATCGATGCGAGCTGTAAAGAAGACCGTGCTCAACCTCCTGTCCTGTTAGATCGAGCAGGTATGTCAGGTTCCGACCAACAAGACCATGTTTGTTAGCGCCAACTGTTTCACTCCTCTGCTCGCTTTTACGACAGACCTATCAGAGCTCATCCTGAATGGTGTGCTTTGTACAATTAAGCACACAACGCCATAGATATGAAACCAGAATTCGTCTTGATGCCATCTTCAGGGGTATATATTAGGTTAACATTTGAGTCAGCGCAAGGTTCAGCATTCAGTTGCGAAGGTTGCAATTATATTGTACAAACTGTGTGTGCATCACCTTGAGTTGTGAAGGTTTTACGTGTTTAACCTAATCGTAACAGCACAACCATCATTTCAAAAAAACTCCCTCATAGCCTGCAACAAACGTTTATTGCTGTATTTGTAGGTGTCCGCAGTTGGACTTGTCGTCCTACACGCCTTGCTTGTCAAATTGGATAATGTGGCTTCGGATGGCGAGCAACAACCTTCGTTACATGCAGCACATGTTCGTATTTGTTGCGGACAGATCGCAAACACACAACATGCATTTGATAGGTTAGGCGCAATATCATTGTAGCTTTTTTGCCATCTAGACCTCAGCCCACAGGCATCAGTGTTGACCAACATGATCAGAGTGGTTGAGAGTGAAATGGTGGCCTTGGCAATAGGAGGCGACGAACACAAACAAACCGTTCTCACTGGAACTGGTGTGCTGCACGTCCGCACATGTTTGCATTTGTAGCGGACAGATCGCAAACACACAGTGAGTTTCTGTCCTTTCCTTTTTTCACCGAAACGCGCCTTCGATGGGCCAGGCTTGATATCATTGCGGCTTATTCGCCATTAGGACCTAAGCCCACAGGCATCAATGTTGACCAACATGATCAAAGTAGTTGAAAGGGAAACAGCGACCTTGGCCTTGGCACCCAAGCACACTACGCCATCTTCAAGGGTAAATATTGGGTAAATTTTCGAGGTACTGCTATCATTCGGATTGTAAGACAAGCAGGCAAGCAAAATTGTCCTTCGCTTTCTTCTTCGCATCCTTGATGCCGTCTTCCACTGCACGCTGGAGATGATCAACAAGGACCTGGAAGAGTTTCCTCAATGTGGCAATAATTTCTTCATTCTGTAACAAGAAAGCAGAGCCCAGCGCACAAATCTTCACAACAGTGTTCTGTGATATAATGAAATTGTTTGATTAATGCACCACTCGTCGACGGCGCTGATTTCAACATTCAGGGAATTTTGTGTGTATGACAGTGTGGCCATTACCTCAAATTTCAAAGGCTATTCACAGTTGCCAGTTTCATTCCCCTTGAAAGGATTGTCCTCTTGCATTTGCGCATTCACGAGACGCGATACCATTTGTCAGGCGCTTCTACCCATATATGATGGACTCTTCAGGTCGTTATCTCCGAACACGAAATAGGCAAGAGCGAACCGCTTCTATGGACCACTCGAAGCCAGCTTTCCTCGACATTGACCAGCTTCCAAACATGCCCGTGTTGCAGACGACTTTCCTCGGTATCGATCTTGGGAAGGAGCTTATTGCTGCTTGCACTGGCAAACGTGTTCTTTAGTCTGATCGTTGTACTGCTGGAAAGAACGAACAGTATCAGATAGAATGCCGTCCACTGCGTAAGGTGAACTGTGTATATTGTGAGCATTGTGTAAGTTACTTTAAGGTGGAAAATGAAATGCTGCTTGTAGCTCACAATTTGTGTGCAAAAAGCATCCCTAATACCTGCAGGGCGTTGATCAGTTTTCGGACCATGAATTCTAACCTAATGCCTTATTTCCATTTTACACCATTATGTTAACCTAAATTGCAGATACCGACTACAGTGCAGATGTCCTGCTTACTGTATGTCCTGTAGGGAATAGCACTGCTTTCAGTGCGAGTGATGGAGTGGAAGAATGGAAACACCTTCGATGGTGTGGTGAACTGGCAGTTGGCGCTGATTGCTAGTAGTAGGATAAGAAAATTCTTGCGATATTCAGTGAACCCATCCAGGACCTTGTTTGCAAATTGAGCTGAGCAGAGGAACAGGGGGGCTCTGACGGTTTGCAGAGGAATGAATAAATTTTGTAATGTTCAGAAAACACTTCATGGCCCTTGTGATCACCTTCAGTGTTCAATGGAGGACGCCGTGAAGGATGCAGTCGCATAGCGGATTGACAACTGCACCCAATGTAGTGAGCACTTTGGCTTCCCGCGATATGGAAGAACCGTGCTGGTAGTCTGTGGCGATCGCTTGCAGCAAAGGCGCCACAAAAAACGTCGTTGGCAATCTACAATACGTGGAAAACAGTTGAACGACCATCTGTTATCAGAGTGCTTCAAGCTGTTTCTTCACGAATAATCAAGACCTCACGGTGAGGTTGGATGTCATGCAAGATCTCCTTAAGTATGTCTCATGTTACCATCTTGCTAAACGCTAGGTTTCAAATTGCACTATGGCTTAAATAAAAATTTGGTTGCCTTTACAATTGCGTTAATTCAGCCCAGACATTACAGCCTGTCCTATTGACGAACAGTAAGGTGGTGTGGTTAAAGCCAAAATCGCATCAATTAGCAATCAACTGATAGGCTGTGAGTGCAAATCGATTCAATCAGAAAAGGATAGAGCAACTTATTCTAGTAGTCGGTCTAATCAATTGCCTGAGTTGGTCTACTAGGCGTGTGAAACAGTATTAAGCCGAATGCATTATATAAAATATATTATGCCAAAATCGCACATTGGTATTCTCTACCAGTGAGTAAGACGGATATTTGACTGCTTTTTCATGAGCCAAAACAACAGCGCAGTTGAAATTACCAGATAAGTTAAAAGGCGGAACGAATGTCCGTAGCTTACTGCATGGTTGTGGTGAGTAGTGAGGACAATAGCAGCCCTCCTCATTGTTGTTCACAAGTTCATGTTGTCAGTGTTCTTCATGAATTCTTGAATAATTTCTTCCTGGTCGTTCATGGTGAGAAGCTGCAAGGTCAAGTACAAATTCACCTTACTGGCGATTCCATTACAATGCTAAATGCCTACAGAAATAATGCAGATGCATATTAGATTGGATCTGTTACTACTTCAACCGCGAATGCTTTGACGCATTGAAAGCACAGGAAATTAACGAGGCTTGGGTAAATGGCTTACAAATCTAACAGCTCTAATATCGAAAGAAAGGTGGGGAATTTCCGCCCTTATCTGCCTCAGTATTGCGAACTAGATGATCGTGTGCAATATATTTTTTGACTCATGCTGCTATGCCACTCGCAATGAATCTATGTGAAGAGCCTTTCCATCCAATCTGTTCCTATATTACTCAGGGTTATTCAACTGAACGAATAGGCTTTCTTTGGTTACTGTAGAGATACGACGTGGCTCGCACATTAATTTGCAATGTTTGAAAGCCAAAGATTACTTACGTATGAATCTTACTTCTAACTTTCGGCAATGTTGGTTTCCCATAATCTCGGATCTCCAGCGGCAACAAATTCACGCAACTTACGAGGCAGTCGCAATCATCATCAGCTCAGAGATGGATACTGCCACTCAGAAAGACTAAGTGCAACTACGAAACGCGAACGACGCAAACATCGTTGCTTGTGTAGATGTGGCAAATCAACTCATCAACATCCACGTGGCTACTCTGAATGCTTGCGAGTAGCTGGATCGTTAGCCTTGAAGACGGCTTTTATCTGTTGACTGTGACTTATTGAACTCAAGCAGGCTTCACTCTAATCTGATCAACTCCTCGACTGCAACTCGTTATGAGCAGATCGTCGAACGAGCCTTAGTTTTGTCGATGTAAACTGTACTGAAGACCGTTTTGAGCTTCTATTCCGTTGAATTCCGCAGTGTAATAACTCTTTGCTTATACGATGAATTTAGTTTGATTTTTGCACCCTTGTTCTATTCCATTCACACTGCATTACTTCTCGACCAAAATGGCGCAATTGCGGTAGCAACCGATCACGTTCAACCAATCACGTTTATGTTATAACCATCACCATTTCTGGTTTAAGCTTTAGGAAACGAAGTGCTACATTTAAATAGCACGTCGATTGAAGCAGGTGACGAATGGCATTATATTTGGTACAAACGAGAGAAATTGAGGACAGCGTCTTCGGGATGTAGGAATCACTGTAATTTGTACGAGTTAAAGTTAATATAGGCTTATCCATTGTCTTTAGTAGAGGCTATACGTGGTTGCGATGTTCCCTATATGACCTTTGGTGCTACGCGAAGTGATACTGTCCAGGTAATCTCATGGTTGGTTTAAAACCCATCAATCAATCTCTCCACAAATGACTTGCCTCCGAGTCATACAGGTCGACGTGATCATGGAAAAATCTGGTACTAGCTTTGCTCTTGGCAGCGCCATTTGTTGTGCTTGGACTAAGCACGATTTGCCCGTAGGTGCTAAAAGGGTCTAACGTGCTCAGTTGTGAACATCAGCAAGCTGTTCTAACAGCTGCTTTCGTCGATTGCACCTCTTCACTGGAATGCTGTCAGGCAGAGTGTCGACGACTGAGGTGGGGCCTGTGGAAGTGCTAATGGCCTCAGTGTTGATCTTTGAAAGACTACTGTGGCTGTGTGCGTCTAACGTAAACCTTGGAATAATCGATGACGTAATCGTGCAGACAAAGGACGTTGAAGCCTAATATTACGTTCCACCTGCAATCAAAATAGGTAAACAACACAAGCTGGTTTTCTGGTGAATCAACTTGGACCTACCCAATGTCAAGACCTTAAAATTTGGATAATAGTTTGTTCATCGAGGAACAAGAGAGCATGTGGATGCAACCATAGGAGAGTTGCAAATTCAGTATGCTCAGGTTTGATTTTTGACGCTGCAGTCTTCGTGTGGACAGCAGCAGATGACGCGTGTGATTCTATGTGTCTGGATTTTAGCATGTTAAATTCCGTCAAAAGGATACAATATGCGATGTGCACTTACAGAAACTTTGGCTTTGTCCACGGTGTCTGGACCCTTAGCAGGGACGTTAGCAGTGTCCATGTTCCGGTAAATCAGCTTCGTGGCTTGTTAGGGGTCGAGGTACTAAGAAAATGCTTCTCATCACTGATCGTAGAACACCAGGTGAGGAACGGTTGTTGAAATGACAAAACCCTTTATATTCATTAGACAAACTGCGATTAGCAGTTTCTTTGAATCGCAATTAAAACGGAGAATAAGTCATAACTGTCTCCGTATGTACAACGGGATCTTTTAATTCTTCTGACGCAACAAGACATCAATAAGCTGTTTAACCAATCTAGTACCTGGTTGTGTCTCCGCCATCTGCGTTCTTCTTGCACTCTTTGTAAATTATTAATCAAGCCAATAAAACTTGTCGACCCGCTCTAACCCTTGCTCTTCAAATCAGCATTTTCTCACCTATGACTCAGTTGTCCAGATGTCAAATCTTTGACATTTGCATGTCTTCGCAAATTTTTGATTAATTTGATGAAGATGACCGCCTTTCAATGACCTTGTGCTTTAGTAGACAATTAGAATTCGAAAAGAGCACGATGGTTCTAGATATTCCATCTAAACTATGCTTTTCGTAGATTATTCCGACACAAAATTAACATCGCAAACTTTTTGCAAAGTGGAAGAGTACGTTTGTGCTCCTGAATGCAAGCGTTTGCGTGGTACATGAATGGTGTGATCAATTAATCAGGCTAAAGCAAAACAATAAGTGTTGACAAGATTTGGCGCAACTAGTTTCCTGCCTTTGGCAGGACTAAATGCTTGATTTTACCACGGCATTTTGTTCAAACAGGGCGTATAAATGTCAATCATTCCTTGGCCTTTATCGCAGAGAAATAATGACGACTTGCAAAACCCTTGTGATACTTATCAACTGAGTCTAATTTAAAGCACAAAATCCCTTCCTGGAAGCGGAATCCACAAATTCACTTTGAGTATTATTCCAAAGCACAAATCTGTCAACTGAATCTCATGCTAGTCAAATGGGTGGTGTTACTTAAAACCCAGTCAGGACTACGTGTCGTTTACTCTAGTTGGCTTCACTCCTTGTGGCCCAGAGGCATGGCTGCGACTTTTGAAATCCTTGCGAAATCAGCTCGTAATTTGAAGGCATTTAAAACCAGTAAGGATGTGCAAGGTATGCGGTATTATTTCGACATGAGAGATGCCGGAAATGTGAGAAGATGAAAGTGCGCAGAGCGCGCATACTTTTGGCGCTCCAAGGTATATTCAGGTGCATGTGTGCGCATGAGTAGTTAAGAGCTTAGGACATAAAGGATATGACCATGCTAACGATTGTTTCTATGCCCTCGACAGTCTTGGTGTTCATCGCTGGTATCAAGGAAGCGCAATGGGGCCAGAGTTAATGCAGTTGCTCCACCGCGGTTCAAGACTACATGCTAGGGCCCCCGACATCATCATATGCTGTTACGTTTGCTCAGGTAGTAACATAATTGTCAAATAAGCAGCAATAAGGTCAAATACAATATAACTGCCATGTCAGTTTAGGGACTGCTGAGGAAGGCAGTGAGCTGAAGGTGGGATCAGCTTGGCAGTGGTGCGACACTTGACGATATCCGAGAAGTACAATGTCACTTCAACTGCTTGTGTCCGCGTAGGAATCTTCTGGCTAGACGTGGGTGTCTGGGGGTAAGAAACTAGGTCTGCAGAAGTGCACCACAAAGCAAAGGCACTGAAGCATTTCTAGTGAACGTTGTGTGGAATGTCATAAGCGAGTGCGTAATGGAATGGCGAGGCAAAATCCGACGTGATTTAAAAGTCCTACTGATTTTAATTCAAGTAAACAAATTTTGGCATCCTCGGAAGCATGGATATTAACCCACAATCAAGCCAATCAAAAGTGACCGTGAAATAATGGCTGTAAACAATGCATTAGGAAACAGTATTTGACTAATTTAAAAGTAGATTGTGACCTCGATGCAAGTACGTGGTCTTGCAACTGACAAAGCGTTAATTGTGACTGATATTTTATCCGCATTGAAAATGTCCGTATATTCAAATCCATTACTCGATGCAACTGATTGCATGTGGTTAATTGATAGGTTCATAGTATTGGCCAGATCAAATGATGTCGCACTCAGGCAGGCATAAATGGTGGACATCCTGGCTGGCGCCACTTCCGTTTCCAAGTTGATGTCGAGCAACATAAGCTCATTGACTCAGCAACTATTGTATCTATATCATAAATTCTTGCTTTAATACATTCACAAGGACTTTGTTTTTATTTGTCCGGTTTTGAAAGATACAAACAACTTTTGAACGCGTTCTCCGAAATCGAAAAGTTAGCTAAGATGTCTTACAAATCTAGCCACGAGGTTACCAACCGTTTGGTGACTTCAGTTCAGCTAACATCTTCATGGTAAGACGACGTGCTTTAATGAACTCAGGAAAATAGAGGCAGATTTTAAGTAAATGGGCGGTCGTGGCATAATTAGAACTTTTGCCCGTGCGACTTTGTGGCGACTTCAGCGCCCTAAGTGATCCCATTACATACTAACACACTCGCAAATTGTATTCAGTTAAGAAGTTGTCTAACTCAATCCATAACTGGAGGTCGCCTAAGCTACTAAGCAGACACTGCGTGTCCTAGTAGGCATACTTATACCTGCGGTTATTATTTCAATCATTCATTTTTCAATTCCACTGAGAATTTTCTGGTTTTAACGAAACCCACTTCGGAACAATTGACGACTCACCTGCCATGCTGTTCCATTCAAAGCCCTTTCGACATTCATCGAAGCGAGAACTCATGGTCAATGAGGTTGTGCTGGAACATCTATCATTTCTCCCCACCTGAGTGCCTCATTATGCAATCGTATATTGATGATCTTAGATAATTGAGTTGGTGTGATATTTGAATATTGCTGTTAATTAATATCAGACAGGCGTAAGCAAGACTGCAATCACAGGCAACATGTCACGTGATTGCAAGAATGCATTACATGACATCCGTGTGTATTGACAATTCCAGCAGTTGGGGCTGTGGTCCACAACTGAAAAATCACACTAGTTCACCTTACTAGTGCCTTAATCACAGCCACATTCCGTGTCACATCGCATAAACGGAGCTTGACTCAAAACTTGCATACTTGTTGAACAAAGTGGCAGTTAATTTGCTAAACATGGGCCACCTCACACTAAATGCCTGATTTGTCAAGTCATGGCAACTGTCCTATCAAACAAAATCGTCGTTTGTGATGGAAACGGCCTTTTGTGAATTAGTGAAGAAGGGGCCTTGGAATTTCGTAGTACTGCAGACTAAAAGTGCCCAATAATGAGACGAAGCGATACTGAATAGCAGTCGACTTTTTGAATCTCGAAGCGCTAACTTCACCAGGGTGGATCAACATTTGATAAAGAGCTTTATAAATGATACGGTTTTCCGCCTGATTATGTCCCTTACAAACTAACAGATTTAGTCGTTTCTGATGCGCCATTCAGTAATTAAGGTCAAATTATGGGAAGTATGCTGGCCTCAAACCATTTCATACCCTCTGCAATGAATCGTGATAATCAACGGTACAAATAACATTATGTAACCTGCCTTCATATCAACATGGATATTTGGTCCTTGCACACTGTCCGTCCACGTGCATGTCAATATCATTCAACCCCTACCTTCTTGGAGTTTTTTTACCTGATAACATACGTCCAAGGTGTCACCTGATATCTAAAAGTCCTAAGAAAAAAAGATATCTCCATTAAACCAGTAGTTAAAGCTGGATTTTCGAGTTTGGCAACGCCTCCACCATCACCACAGATCAAGGAAAACAGTTCAAGCCAAATAAATTCCAATTTTTGAAACAGTTTATAGACTTTGCATCTAACCCACCACCTATCATTCTACAATAGCATGGTACAACGTCTTCGCCGACAACTGGAAGCCGAGTTAGCAACTCACGGAGACCCATTCTGTAAGACGGTAGCGTTATCATTTATGCGGCTGCGTTCTGATTAGCTCCTACGGAAGACATTGATGGTTTGTATGCAGAAATGTTTTTTTTCGGTACAACTTTGAGCTCTCGTCAAGCCACCGACCTCGATGTGTTGATGAATGGTCGTCCAGCGCATTTAGTGAAACTGGCATCATTAAAATGAGCCCGAGAGTTTGGGCTTCTTACCTGAGACCTTAATTTTTTCATTAGTATTTTGTGGGCCTTAGGACATGGTCTTGGACCACGCCGGGGCCACTGCGTTTCATCTGGCCTGATTACGCTTCCCTGATACCCACGATGAAAAAAAAGACCGCCCAGAGCACAAAAAATTGTTTACTTCAGAGCTCATGTGTGGGGTTTGTGCGTGCGTATTTATACCTCAGATGTGTGAGACATACATGCGCTAACATCGAGGCCTAGGTGTAAAGATAATCCAGGATAAATGTTCCTGCTTATAAGGAGGGAGTTGAGGATCCGCAAGGCTGGCGACATGCTGCGAAAAGAGGGACCCTGTGTCGGAGGCTGGAGTGATCGGATTAACGGGTGTGATTCAACCTGATTCACAACAAGCTGTATCTATAGCAATGATAAGCAGACCTCAAAACCATTATCTTATCCGTATCGGGAATTAACGGGGATTGGTACTCCACAGCAATGTGCCAAGTTCGTGCGCAATGGATAAGATATTCACTATTTTCAGACAAAAATGCGTTGTGGACATCTTGTGAATTTCAAAATTCACCCACATTGTGACGAGGACCTTCATGCAATCGATAGCGTTAGGCACCTGTGCAGATAAAGAATTTTCTTCTCAATTCCTAAAGCAGTCAACTCGCTCCGTTCCAAACAGTTTACACCGATATTTAACCTTAAAAACAACTCACAGGACAGTCGCAATCGACTGAAACAGTTTGCCTATTCTATCAACAGACTATCATTAGACCATTTCCACCGCCACCTAATAACTAGCAGCGAACCAGTACAGTAGCCAACGGAGCTAAAACAAGCTCACAGAAGGCCTTATAGTTATTCATGCAGGTCATTTATATGAGCTCGGTCGTCGCATTCAACGCCCCACCGACCTTGTTTTCATTGCATCGCCAGTGTCCGCTCATGTATCCCATCATAGTTGTCAAGTTAATACCCATTAACATGCTTATTCTGGGACACCTACAGCACATTCTCCTTCCCTCCTGCCGTTTATTCCCACCGTCTCGAGCACGGGCTAGAAGTGACCCGCCCTACTCTCGATACAGAAGACCCGACACCTCCTTCGGGCATCCCAGTTCACCATACTGTCGAAGTTGTCCCCACACCTCCAATCCCTCACTCGCACTGAGGGCAGTGCTCTTCCCTGCGGGAAGCACAGCCAACGAAATAAGCAGGACATCTCCATTTAAGTCGTTAGCTGACAGTTCAATGCTAAAATGATGCTGGTGGATAAAAATAACGCAATAAATGAAAGCCTTAAGTGGAGATTGTTTTGTTTCGGCATAACAGTTAGCTGTTGACCCATCAACTTTAAAAATATTGAGTAAACGTTTACTACTTAAAGTTACAGAGTAGAACAAGACATTCAATCCAGACTGTGCTGTTCGTAGAGTATTTAACATCACGCACTCGCATAAAGCGGACAATGTCTTTTCGTGGTCCTAAATGGTAGAACTCGATTTCTACATGAAGAGACACTTCCAGGCGACTAGGCATCCACAGATCCTTACTGTGTAACCCACAATGAACTAGCGATGATGGATACGGTAAATACTGTACACGGTCCAAACCATGAACGCTGTAAGACAGTAGGTAGTGAAAAAAGTACTTTACTGAATACAGAGCGCGCACTGGTGACGCGCAAAGGTACATGTGTGAGTGTGTAAGCAGATACAACGTTGGATCTTCGGGGTAATGACCATTTTAACACACGCACACACAAAACTCGCTCAATACAAAAGACAACATAGTCAAGGGGCGTTGCTTTAGTCGGTCATTTCCATGCCGCCGCCGCCGACCACCGCCGTTGAAGTGTCTAGCCCGGGGCCCAGCAGACCCGGGACTTCGGCCTGTCGTCTCAGCTTTTCCGCCTGCGCAGCCGCTATCTCGGCTTCTCGCTCCTCCAAGTAGAGGTCGGACAGATCCTCTCCCGAGATCTCGCGTATCTGCACCAAGAAGTCACGCAGGTGCTCGCGAAAGGCCGTTACGTCGGTGTCGAGGGCGAACAGACCCTTGATGAAGACAACCAGCTGGGGCTCTTGCAGGTGTGGGAAGGCCTGCTTGAGGAGTTCAAGCAACCGCTGATGGACGTATTGCACATTTGTTTCAGCGGGGACAGTGAGGTGGGGGTTGTCGCCTCCGAGCGCCACGGTTATTACCCCGTTCTCAACCATCTTGAACATGTAGGCCAGCAACGACGCCTGCAGGGTGAGATCTAAATTGAACAGAAAAACACCAATGGTTTCAAGCCCACCAAGCGCGTTTTCGAAAAGAAAAACACGGAGCTACAAACTCACTGCCTGTTTGGGATCTATCGGTGACAACGGCAAACATGTGCTGCATGATTTCCACGTAGAAGTTGTGGAAGAACAGCTGCTGATTATCCGATGTCGCGTTGGCCATATTGATGAGCATTGTATGTAGGATATTGAGTCCGGTTTCGGACACCTGAAAACAAAAAAAAAGTGAGTTGATAGATTAGAAAGCGTTTTGCCTGAGGCACCTAGGCGGCGAATGCATGTTTCGATAAGTTGGTGATCTAGACTACATGCACTTTGTCTAATGAAGCACATCAAGATACCTGTCGCATGGTGTGCTTAATGGCCCAGATCACGCTGTCGAGAATGAGTTTGAATTTGTCCGTAGTCAGGGTAAGCAGAGCAGAGAAACAGTGGGCGTTGACGGCCTGCAGGAGTGTGAAGAAGTTGGTACGATGCTCAGGAAACTCCTCCAAGTCCTTGTTAATCATCTCCAGCGTACACTGGAAGACGGCGTCAAGGATACGGGGAAGAGAGCGAAGGACGTTTTCGCCCAGCCGATTTACGATTGTCGCCATGGTTGTGAGTACCTCGGGTTCACGTGCGATCGGAGGACCCTGCTGGTAGTCGGTGGCGACCGCGTCCAGCAGAGGCGGCAAAAAGTCGTTGGCAACCTACGAAATGTGAGAAAAAAGTGGAATATCAGGCTTTGATTCAAATGGTTGTGCTAAAGCAAAGCAAACATAATGATTAGTGCACCGGTTTCCTTGCGTTATTTATTCGCTAGCCAACTTGCTAAGCAGTAAACCTCAGGCAATATCACGCTTATGCTAGACATTTCAGCATTCTAAATAGCCTTGCTGATTCCCATTAAAACTGAGCTCGACATACCAGCATAGGGTTGTTAGACCGCTGAATCCAACAGGACAGGAGGTTGAGCACGGTCTTCTTTACAGCTCGCATCGATCGAACAAGGGGTTGTTTGACTATCTGATCGCCATGCGTTGCAATCGAAGCATTGATCTGGTCGGAGAGAAGCCTGTACACGTTGAGCATGTCCAGGTAAATGCGACAGAGCTGGGTTAAATAAGAATGACCCAGAGATTTGCAAGCCGCCAAATTGGTCTTGAGGATGTTGCAGAGCTGCTTCACGACCTCTACGTCCGTAAGGATGTTGACGTCGGCCGCAACCCGAAGCAGGATGTCGTCCCAAATGGCGTTAGGAAGGCGGAACAGGCCCTCAATTAGTTCGTTCTGAGCGGCCGCATCCGTTTCTGAGCTGATGATGATCGCGACCGCCTCGTAGAATGTGTGAACCTGTTGCGGCTGAAGATCCGAGATGATGGCATCAATACCACGGATGATGTCCTCCACAAAACCACATGATGCTCCACACTGAAACAAGAAAACCAACGATGCTGCAAGTTTGAGGCGGATTCAATTTCGAATAGAGTGAAGTCATCGAATCATCGTGAAAGCAGAAGAATTCAGTACAATAATCCTTCGATTTCAGTGATGGTAATCCACCTCCACCTCACACATTTAAAGTAATTACACACAACCGTATTCGACGATAGAACTAGGAACAGCTGTCCGAAAAGTGAAGGCTTTTGAGCAAACGAACTGGATCAAATGGACTGCTGCTACGACAACAGCAACACGTTGATAGGCTCACCTGTGGAATTAGGAGTTGTCGTCGGCATTTTTGTGCGACCTTGATAAATGTGTCACAGGCCATGTCCTGCACTCCCTCGTGGGTCTCATGCATGAACTCAAACAATTTCGTAATTACTGTCTTGAGGAAGCGCCAATGCGCCCGGAGAAAGCGGGGGTACTGGCCGACGACGTACATTATGTTGCTTGCCACGATGGCCTTATTGTCCTTGCCACGCTTGTGCTCACACAGTCCCAAGAGATCGCGAATCACAACTACGAGGAAGGAGCGTTCGTTGTCCTCCTGCATGGCGCCCGAGATGCTCCCGATGGCCCAGCACAGCGAATTCAGGTTCGCCCGGGACCATTCTGCACCGCTCACTTGACGCTTCAATTTCTCCAGCATTATTTTTTCGGTGTCCTATTGACAGGAGAAAAAGTGGTGTGCTTAAATCAAATATGACAACATTTAAGAGACAGCTGTCTGTTTTTGAATAGAAGGCGTCTAGGACCACAGGAACTTCAATGAACCGCCTACGACGTATTGTCTAAACATGGTCCTGCCTCCAGAAGCATGTTTTATCAAATACTTTTTGTTCCGCTGCTATTTCTAGTGCACGAAATGGCATGTTAACTACTTTGTCAAACAACAACACTGCAGTTAAAATCAGGAGGTAAAATTGAGAAGCGATAATGCATTGCGTACTTCATGGTCGAGATGAGTAAGATAGACCAAAGTCTCACGCATTGTTTTGTATAGGTTGAGACTGTCAGTGTCCTTCATGAACTCCCGAACAACTTCGCCGTGATCGTTCTCCACGACAAGCACCTCCTCGGGTCGTGCCATTCGCGAGATCAGAATAGTGCGGAGCTGCAAAACCAAGCACATTTACACCGTACTTGAAAGCCCATCACACGACGCGATGTAGTTGCACAAACTATGCGAATGTACCTTTGACAGGATTGGTGCATACTCCATACGGGGCAGCACGGAGGCATAGAGAGGACGGCAGGCCAACGAGGCTTGAGTGTATAATTCACAGACCCAAAAATTCCAATACTCAAGGCAAATCTTGAATATTTCCTTATCGTCAACCTCAGATATTCGAAGCAAGTACTCATAAGAGTCCACTAATTGGTCTGTAATTTTCCCCATCTCAATAAGATCATTATGCGATCTTAAAAATGTGCAATAAAATATGGCCAGATTTTGTATAAAGTTCTGTTCGTCCGTTGTACCCTTGTCATAGGCTTCGCGGATTCTCGTAGACAGTGGCAGCATCTACACAAAATTGCGACGGTAAAACAAATGAAATCAACGCTAACGAACCTCCTTCAATTTGGATGTTGTCAGATTAAACAGTTCCACAACCTTGTCTTCATACTCGTTAGCAGGAACACCAGCTAAAAAACTGATTCACTTTATCAGATTCGAGTCTTACCGATTTCCGCCAGGCATTTCAACGTGACGTTCCGGAAAGCCGGAACGCTGAGGAATCGGCAAACAAGGATTTGAATCAAATTTGTCTCAAAGATGTACCCCAGTGGGATCCAGTGCATAAATCGAAGAAGGGTTTCTAGCGTGACAACAACTAGTGAGGCGTTCTGTGAATTCTCAAGCACTAATTGGCACAGCTGGAATATCATCCCGAATTCCTGGCACATTGAGTCCTTGAGGTGCTTAGCTTTAGTCTGAGTCATTTGTCCCAACGAGAAGTCGAACACCTCTTCACTCAGTAACCGCAAAATGACCATGTTGTTCTGACAAAGGGATTCATTAGTTTTGCTAGCACCAACAATATCCCGAATGAAAAAAGGCCAGTTAGCAGGCCATTCAAACTTCAGTATCTATAAGTTAAAAAAAGCAATCATCTCACTAAATTTGCTTACTTCAACCAAGATCATGTTCAGTTTGCTGAGGTAACTTTTTTCGCTTTCCATTAGATCGGGATTTGAGGATGTCTGGATTATGAGACCGACGATATACTTCTTGATGCCCTCACACTGCGGTCTAGCAAGCACCTTCCATCGAGTCTTTATGAGGGCCTCGAGAATTTGAAGCGCAAAATATTTGGTCTGTTGGGAGGAACTGAACTCAAGAATAGAATCCACACGCGTCCAGGCTTCAGGGTGCTCTTTCAATGTGCTCAAAATCTTCTCCGCGAGCTTCTGCTCATTTCCACTGGATTTGTACATCGCCTCGACTACCTGGTCAAGGAGCTTGATGTCTAGTGGTTGTGAAAAGTTTAGTATCTGCGCCGCCGCAGCTTCTGTTAACATGATTTGCGTTGTATTTGCAAGAAACTAAAATCAGAAAACAAAATGTGTAGCAGTTTCAGAACGGCCTTAAATTTAACTCCAGAGTTGTGAAACCATTGGGTAAACAATGAACGATTCTGCCAGAAAATATCAACTCTGCCACATTAAGATCGAGCAAAAATGAGAGTAGTCTGACTCAATTACAGGGGTGGTGATGCAAACGCGAGTGATCTTAGGATCCGCACAAATTCGAATCCAGCATGAAATTATTGATTGGAATTAATTCCCAATGAACAATATTGAATGAAAAGGTACTCGAAGCATGCCCGTTGCAAAAAAGGCACATTATTTGTCAATAATATGAATGTTGCGAATCTCGAGTTGCGCAATGCCTTGCAAAACATCGACTCAAACCTACAATGGACGCAAATGTCAAAACAGAAACGTGTCTCAGCAGGCCAACGCAAAGCATTTAAAACCTTTGGATTTTAATTATTATACGGTACATCGGGTCTATTTTCGTGTAGATATCGCTATTTAACGGCAAATAGCGTTTAAACAAGATGAATACCTCTGACCACCCATAACAGACATAATAAACTCTAATTCTCTGTTCCTCATGTCATTAATATTTCACAGCAAGCTTTTGTAACAAAAATAAACGTTTTTCTAAACGCTTGTTTTGGTAACGAAGCTCGAAAACACTAAAGAGCAGGGAACACAAAGGCAGAGCTTACAACCGCGCACCACAGGACCAGAACCGGTTCTGACCGGTTTTCAATGATTAAACCGAACACTTTTTCCACGGCTCTTATAAACAAAATGATGTTAGTTAAAATTTGGTCTTTAAGTACCGTTTACTTCTAAACTTATTTATAAACTCCCTAGATATAAAAAATTTTTGGTTTTGGGACAATATTATAATTGAGTTACTGATTTTGCTTTATACTAAAAGTGATCCTCTCCATGCCCAGCATTCAGGTCACACATATCAATTTTTTCCATTGAGATGACTGTGTCCTTGCCTACGGTTTTATGCTAATATTATACAAGTATCCCTGTGCTATATTTAGGCAACACTTGACAAAGGTTTTACATATGCGTGATCCTAGGCATGATGCTAATGCAGAGGTTGAAAGCAAATTATTTTACTCAATTTAAAATCTTTTTTAGATGCGTAAACCCATACCAGGAATCTTGTATATTGCCTTTATTAGCACAACTCTATTTTACCAAAATGAATATATCTAAAGTTAGAACTATTAAGCAAATTTTGTTGTAATTTTTGTTAGTGTTGATGTGATTCTACTAAACCACAGAAAAGATTTTCCCCGGAAATTCAGGGAGCCATGACCATTTGTTTTGTCTGTATAGAACAAAGACTTTTTTTGCTATATTTTGATAATTTACCTTTTTCTTTTATGCGAGAGGTCCAGGCACCATCTAGAAATAACCTTTGTGAGGCTTTAAACAAGTTGGTAAGGCTTCAGGCTATTTACAATTTATACCTGACAATCTTTGCTGCAATGCTACATTTAAATTCCTGTTCAAGATAAATGGGAAAGAACAGTCCTATTTTAAATAATGAAGCCGACAACATATCCATCCCTCATTTAAGCATCATGTGCCAAACCACACGCCAGTGAAATAGGCATAACGGTACACCTTTTTCCTGAAAATTGTTCCTACTTTTTAGACAGAGTCATTTTCATCTAATTTAAGCTTGATGGGAGCCTAATTCAACGCTTTTGCAAAAGTCTAAGGACACGCTTTTTTCAGTGGGAGACTTATTGTTGTTGTGGACCCTTTTTTCTTTGCAATTAGCTCTGCAATTTAGGTGTGAAAGAAAGAATCCATGTCATGTCTTAAGATATTGACAATGACTCATGATGAACTCACTATCAAACTTATAAATAGGTCTCTAAGTTATTAGTTTTTAAGTGATCATTAACTAAGGCTTTATTTGATTGCTTGATTCTGGTAGAATATATTCTATTCGAAGCCTGATAAACTAGGTAGCATTCAAGGAAACAAAAGCGCTTTTATCTAATAAAAGTGTGCGATATTGCCAAATTTATAAGTACCATTTTGCGTTTATTGTATTGCTACAATGTAAACAAGCAATAATCTAGTTCAGGTCTTGAGTTGTCATGTTTTTGGTGTCGGCTCCAGCATGTGCTCTTGAACCACGCACTGAATTAACTCTGGCTCGATTAAGCTTTCCTGATACCGCCGATGAAGAAAAAAGCCGGAGAGTACGTGGACAAAACCGTTTACTTCATTGGTCAACCACGTTGGTGTCGTTGTGTCGTGTGTGGGGTTTGCGCGTGTGCATTTATACCTCGTATGTGTGGGTCATACATGCGCTAACATCGAGACCTAGGTGTGGGGGTACTCCAGGATGCATGTTCGTGGTATTTGGAAGGAGGAGTTGAGGATGCGCGCTGGAAGGGGGGAACCCAGTGTCAGAGGATGAAGCAACCGGATTAAAGAGTGTGTATAAACACGATCCACAACATTTTCTTGCGTTCACATAATGTCGTATGCATTTTTAAGTCATGTAAGCAGAAATGCGTGCTTAAATATGACCGTGCAACTCATGGGAAACAATGATTACTTTGGAAAGGGATGTGGACGAGAGTTTAATCTTTATTATTTACAATTCGATACATTTCTTTTAGGCAAAAAGCTTGATTATTGCTAACCACTTTATCTAATCGCGAAGACTGAGTCAGTGTCATCGTGAGTTATCCCCCACTTAGAATCAATTTGAGAAGCGATTGGCTGGTTGAGATTAGCGCATGACTGAGTTCGACATTTAATATTTGAACTGGGTAATACCTTTCCGATAAATAGCCCATGCGAATATGAAGATAATAAACGATACAAATGGATTTAAACAGCAGGAAATATGAACAAAACTATGTCTCGATTGGTTTGGATTCATCCTCTTTTGGAGGCAAATCATCAATGTCATCAACGAGCCCAAGCGACCGCAGAAATTGACGTTCATCCGACAGGTAGGCCTCGTACTCCACCTGAAATGGCACCACATAACAACGTGAATGAGAAGTTGGTTTTGTAAGCTAAGTGACCTCGGACTAAGGGAAGTACTGGTGGTTAAATATAACAGTAACTCAGGTTTCCACGTAGTTTGTGATGGATTAGCATGCCTGAAACATCCTTTTTCGACTGATGGTATTTCCAAGTCAAATATCAAACATCATAAATCTTCTTTCACCACCGCTATCCACTTTAATTATGACCTTCACGTGATAGTCACCAACTTCAGTAGGTCAATCTGAACGATGTTGGTTGACATCGGGTGAACAGTCTTCAGGACAAACTTTTTAAGTCATGGACGGTACAAATTTCTTTACAATCTCAAAAACATCTTCCCCACAAAAAGTGCCCAGTAAATCACTATTCGTAAATTCCGGAGCAACAATCTTGCCAACGCATAACCCGACACATGATTTCTTTGGATTCACAAGATACTGCTGCCCTGATAATCCGTGATTTCCAGTTTCTAACATGTTACACTGCGATCTCATTTAAATGGTGGAAATGCGTTAGAAATATGAATATTTTGTTAGGGATAAATGATCATCGAATGTTCGTAGTGAAATAATGTAAGCTGCTTGCACCTGTATACCCCACTATGCGCTTAGAGTTCTTCAGATTAAATGACAAGTATTTTTGTTTAAATTACTAATATTTCGATCTGAACTCACAAGCGCACGGATCGTCTGTGCTGCCTTAACAGAAAAACATTCCTAAGCTGTACGTTTTTGGGCACTTGCTATCAAAAAAGCGCGTTGCTTCGACTCCATCGCTTTTGCAGTAATTTCAACCAATGAAGTTGTGACCTTGGCACGCGAAAACACATAAATGAGGCATGGGTGAGCATTTCATCAGCAATACTGGCACAACCACCTAGCCGACTCAGACAAGTGTCTAGCCCTCGTAGCTAACTCTCGACGATCAGCACTTAGGCCATTATAAATGACGAACTTGACCTTGGGGTTGAATTCACACCGCTACTCACTAAAACAAGCATTACTCACGCCTTAAATCAATAGATGCTGACAACCACGCACCCGCAATTTCTGGAGCTTCTCCTCCTCACTCAGTTCGGCGGCAGTTGCGATTCCTGCCAGTCGTTTCTTCTCATTTTCCGTTGAGATACGCTCGTGCTCTCGCTTGCTCCATCGACTCACAACGAAGGCCCTTCGTTGAACCTCTCGATCGATGTAGTTAGTAACAGCTTCGAGCTCGTTTGCGCCGCAGAATTTGAGACGGTGGGGTACCTGGAGGGGAATAGCAGCATCCGTCAGCACAACATCCATTACATCATCAAGAACAAGCTCAAAGTGATAGTTTTCACGACAGACAGCGACGTTAGTCAGTGCGTTCTGTAATCTCCACAAAGAATGACGAACATTAAAAAGGCATGAGTAGAATCAGGCTTACGAGAAGGACCTTCAGTGTGCCGTGCATGTCACCAACGGCCAAGTAGTGCTTTTTACCCTCCACCTTACTAGACAACGCGGTAAGTGAGGACGCAGACACTGACTGCATGAGTGCAGGCTCGTGGGTCTTATCCAGCAGGTCCCAGGACTCCAGGACCCCGTCACACCGTATTATGTAGAACACAGAAGGTCTTGTAGGCGACCACAATCCCCCTGAAAGAAAATAAGTCACAATCGGGTGGTAGAATACCAACGAATCTCCCAAAATTCAAGGCCTTGCATTGTCTCGGTGAATCAAGATTTTGGTTGAAATGAATCGGTTGGTTTCTCAACATGTAGAGCACCTCTACAACTCCACTATATTAACAGAATTATCCTATTCTGAGATGGTTGAGGTAGTTCTGCAGTTATGCCAGGTGGATTTCTTGAGCCCAAATACCAAACGTCTCAAAATGCCTCACCAGTAACTGCCTTGACGTATGGTGCAGAGCAAAGAAGGGCGCCACTGGTGATGCCTTCTTTCCAGAGTGACCAGGAGAACCCACCAACACACAGAACCACCTCCGGCAGGAACGGGGAGCGAGCGATGTAGGAGATCGGACCATCGTGATGTTGGGCGACAAACGAGGGCAATGTGGTTTGTCGCTTTGCTGTCTTCACGTCCTTCTGCGGCACCCAGTCGACGTAGACAATGTCGCCGTCCTCTGTCCCAACGAAGACATTCGTGTTGATCCCGTCTAGTGGCTGGGCTTTTGGCAGGCCAATTCGATTTGGGTCATTTTCTGAGTCAATCCTCTTCTTAACGTTGGATTTCAACTCGAGGACGGACCGGTCGCCCTGCCGTTCCTGAGTTTTGCAAAATAAAATGATGTCAAAACAACTGAAACGCTTAAATACCTAGCGTGTTAGGCAATCACGACTACTTCGGGTTCAAGAGGCGTTGAAAAACAGGTGGGTTAAGTTCGTGGACGTGTCGTTAGAAAGACTATGCGGACAGTGAGGAACAGACATTGCGGGGTCCGGAATCTGAGGGTAAACCAAGTTAAGCATTAGAATAATCATGAAGCCAACCAAGAAGTCCAATTTTTTTTAATAACGTGATTCAAAGTTGACATAAATCTGCATTTTTGATAACGCTTGTCGTTCGTCGACATCCGTAATCATTTGACGGGATGTAGAAAGCGGAAGCGCCGAAATTGTGGAACATTTCAAGGCTTCTAAGGATTCCATTGTGACTGGCAGCGCAAAGTGATGCCCTAATATAAGCTTAAAGAAGTAGAAAGGATTCTCGGACAGCCACGCAAGATGATGATTTGCATTTGATGGAACTGTGGGAGCAATATGCTGAGCCCAGCTAATTTACGTTTGTCACCACGACTTACACTTGGCTGGCCGCCATGTTTTTACAACTCCCGCATCCCCTGTTGAGCCACTTGATTCCTTTTCTGTTACCCACTCCCTAATTCCTATCAGTGAACCGCCTCAAAATGTGCCTAGGCAACTAGCATCCCCTGATCTTTACCGACAATTTACGTAACCATAACTAATTAAGATGCCCTGGTGTTAGTGCGGGATACACAGAGGGTCGCCATCACCTCATCCACCACGAAATGATGCGCAGAATCATCCACGTCCACCAATTACGCCAGTCGGTCGAGGCCAGTGGCATTTGGACTGATCTCTACTTTCATTGTGGACCGTCAGCTGACGCAATTAACTTATTTCTAATCAGTCTGAAAACAGGTATTAACACATTAAGCCTAACATATTAATAAACAGTTTTTTTAGATCTCGTTGTGCTGCCTTTCGTTGATCTTTAGTTTGTATGGTCTTCAACGATGATAAGGGTTGTAATGTAGTTCATTGGCTTGCTAAACTTAACCAATTACAAAGCCCTATTTTCGGCGAATCTCAAGTCCACTTTTCCGGTCTTTAGATGATGTAAGTTTTTTGAAAAAAATCAGTCGCATTAAGCATTCCTAGAACTATACAACATTTCGACAATTTTCTATTTTACATCACCTTTAGTGTTCGTACACACGATTTTTTGAATTCATATCAGCCGCCCTCCTTTAATTGGCTCATTCATCTCTGAATTGAACTCAAAGCCGCCTATGCCTGCAATTAGACCCATACTCCAAAACGCTGCCCCTTTTTCACGGCGTGCCTGTCAGTCATGAGGAGCCGCGCGTGTACCCCCTCCCTCCACAGCTCATCCCATTCATCCGACCATTCAGCTATTTGTACTTTTATAAGTTCATCCAACCAGCATAAGTCTTCAACACCATTACTAATGTACAATTTGGAATACACACGTCAACAGCACAACTTGTTTGAGCCGCCTAGTAAACGGTTGTGCATCCGGTCTTCGGTCTCCTGAATCTTCCTGGGGATCAGTATCGCGTCATCGGACAACACACCGGAGACTTCAACACGTGGTCCCGTCTATTCCTAGTTTAGGGAGACAAAGACTTATTCGTGTTTTGTCGCCTTACTGGTGTGGAGGAAGTTGTTGACGTGTGTCGGGGATACACGATACCCCAAGATTTCTCATCGCCGGTTTTCGGCACTATTTACACTGATTCCCTAACCTGTGTTTTACTACGCTTTTTGTCAGATCAAGGTCAATCTCGACTTGAATTAGTTTCCCTTTTGACAACTCACTCACACGTGGTTGACGTGATTAAAGCTCTCCACACGAGCTGTGGTCTTGTTGTAGTATTAGCGTGGGAAGCTCGGTGCTAGCGTCAACAAGGGATCTAGTACGGTTATTTGAGAGGTTTTCTCTTTGTTACGGGCAAACGTAACAACGTGCTAAATCGGGGTTTGATAATTTTGACTTGGGGACCTGCAACTGTGTATCGGTAAAGCGTAACAGCTAGAGAAGATAGTCTCCAATTATTACATTGAATTGTACGAAGAGGTAAAAAAGGCCAGAACGTTCGTTTTTGTTGAAACTCACCCTAATGCAGAAACACGTGGGGCAGTGGTCGGGCGCGTTTTCAGGACGGAAGACGTTGATATGTAGGAAGGGTTTCCACTTTGCGTCAATGGCGTTGAAAGTCGGTGGAACGTCCCTCGGAATGACCATCTGGTCCCTCGTCTTGTCCACGGCGAGGGGTGATTTGTCGGGACGCAAATCCCACAACAAGATGCCACTGTCCGCGGCACAGGTCATGAGTTGGATGCACTTCCGCTGGAAGTTCTCGAAAGGCATGCCAGCACGATTGAGTTCAAGGTGGTCCGGCAGCCACTGGAGGTAAGTGATTGGAGTGGCGTGGGATGCCTCGATGTTACTTGCGGCACACCAGGGCATTACTGGAACCTAAAAATGGAGGAAGTGGAGTGAATTCTATTGACACTCCTCCGTCACTCTCTTCACTCCACCACTTCTCCCCGCAACTTCGCATTCAACCGACCAATTACCATATTAGGCGGCTGATCCTGTTGTCAGATCTTCCAATTATCTACTGATTGAGTTTATATTTCAACAGTTTACACATCCCCTAAATTTTGAACTGTCAATTAAAAGGATCTACTTCAAAGTTGACCAATCACGTTAATCACCACTCTGAGTTGACCAATCATTCACTTTCAATAAACAATATACTTTTGCAACAGCTGCGTTATTAAGATGGAAATACCCGCCGAACGCACAAATAAAAGAAAACAATTCGAAACGCCCAAAAACAAACACGTTAAATCCGCTTCGTACACTTTACACATCATTGGGCATGATCGCCATTCGTTCACCGAGCAAATTGTAAAAGACGATCGGTAAGAATCACATTTAAAACAACGGTCAATTAAAAGAGGTGGTAGTAGCTACCTTACTGGCACAAAATCAGCGTCAGCGTGTGTATTTTTGTTGACGTGTAGGGAAAAATAAGCGCATTGTGGAATACTTAGGCGGTATATTTATAAACCTGGCTTGAATCAAGATCAAACCCACAATGCGCAAATTTCGGTGCAAGCTACAGAAGTCAAATAAGTGTGCACGTTTTTGTACCTTCTGACTGTCAGTTTCATCAAACTGGATTAGTGGAACTTTTTGATGGTGTTTAGTCTTTTCGAGAACATTCGAGAGGTCGTGCTTCGCAATGTCCCACAACACCACCTCGCCATTAAAACATCCACCCGCGACGATGTTGGGAGTGGTTGGGTTGAACTGGAAGCACAATATGTCCTCAGGCGCAAGCATTATCAGCTGCGGCTGGATGGGCTCAAAGAAGCTCCACACAATTATCGTCGATTCCGTCATCAGTACCCGCGATTGTTGATTCACCCTCTCTTCGTACGCGAGCCTTTCCACGCCCGACACGGCAACTAGCCCCTCTATTGTGGGGTGCCATTCAACGTGCGACACAGCCTTATGCTTCGAGAATTTCAAATCCGAGAAGGACACCACTTCCTTGAAGGTGTTGGCGGACTTGTTGTCGAAGGTGTCATCACTAGCAGCCAGGTTTGCAAAGTCGTCCACGAGGAAGTTGAACATAAGGTTCTCCTTGAGTCCCTGTTCGAACAGTGGTAGAAGATTGCTCACGCCGGTCATTAGCTTCTGCGTTTTCGAAGTGCTTATGCTAATTTCCTTTTCATCTTCCCCTAGTCGAGGCTCATATTGAACAACCTGATTCCTTGGATAGCGCCACTCCGTGTTGGTAAAGTGGTCACACGCAATGTTGGTGCAGGCAACGCCACGCTCCAATTCTAGAATCGGTATTTCGAAACTCTTATCTTCAAAAGGTTTCACCTCGGTGTACTGTACGCCATCTGAATGGGTGTCAAGGGGGCGTTTCGCTTCGAATTCACGACGGGGTCTTTGAAATTTTGTGACCGTGCGAGGTCGTGATTCAGTGTAACCCGCCTCAAGAATTTCAAACTCCGATCCCATACTTATCCACGGCTGATCAAAGTTCGGATACACCCACGTTACTTCGTCATCCGCCTCCTCAATGACATCCACCACAACATCCCTCTCTTGAACCTCGAGTCCCTCTAGCCGCAGCTTATTATCCACCTCTTGAGATAGAATCATTAGAAAATTGCCACCGAATTTCATTGACCTGTCGACGATGAAGGTGACGTACTCCCCGGGGTATTCAGTGACCTTCTCTTTGACCGCAGCCACAAGAGCGTCGGTAGAATCAGATTGTTCGAGACTTTTGAGGAAGGCTTCTCGTTCGAGGTTCAAGCCAACGTAGACGGGCACCTCAGCAAAACTTTGAGGAATGCCTTGTTCACTCATCTGCACGGACTCAGCAACGGAACCTTCAGAGGTCAGGAGGTCGGTTGGATGGGCCTGCATGTCAGCGATTTTCTCGTTCAAGCGAGTTACAGTCTGTGGGCCAAATATCTTGGTTTGTAGCAGGGCGTTAAAGTTGAATACTAGGACGTCGTCTTCAGGCAGCGACTCCTGAGCCATGAACTCGTTGATCAGCTTCTGGTCGTAGATTTCTTCCTCCTCCATGGTACTCATCGACTTTATAACCTCATCATCATTCTCCTCTCCAAGTTGGTCAGGCGTAGGGCTTTGTTTTAAGGGCTTCTAAAGTGTTTAGAAAAAAAGTGTTTCTAGATGTCACTGGAACAAAGAGCGTTTAAGAACAGGATTAATGGTGGCAATTTTCAAAACTTGGCACATTAACTATGCCAGGATTTATTGGGCCTATTGCTGACACTCAGGTTTTAGTGAAAAGGCTTATTCTTAGACGTGTCTAGCATCCATTTAAGCAATTAATATGGTGGATTGTATTAAAAAAGGCCAGCATCAGAACATTCATCCCTCATCCCAACATCAAGGGGCAGTCAATGCCGTAAGATTTCAACGTGTGCCCAACAAGATACACATCGCTTTACCTTATTCCCAAGCATGATAGCGCAAAATGGAGAAACTCATCCTGACCAACAAACATAACACTGGTTTAGAACTGTCGCCATCTTCGTTTAGTGGCTTTTTGTTTTTGTAGCCAGATAACCATTACGCTGTGAGACCACTGCACTCAGCTCATGTGAAGGAAAGAAGACTGTTAAAAGGTTGACGAGAAAAAGGAAAAGCCGAGGTTACAGTCTGGCCGATGCAGTTACCTTGATTGTTGATTTGGCACCTTTTGCTCCCTTGGCGCCGAAAATGGTGGAAGCTCTTTTCTGCGCAAACTGAAAAAAAACGTCTAGCATTAGCAGACATTGAGGCAAACTAAACTGACGTCGTCTGTTAATGGATTTGGTGTCAATTAATAATGTGATCAGTGGCCATCGTAAAAGTGCAAGCTAAATTATTTTGACTTTATCTTGATAAACAAGGCCATTGTAGTATTTGGCTACTTAATAAAGGTGTAATGCAAATTTCAGTCATGGCTCGCTAAAAAATGCTTTACAGCCAGCGGATTCACTTTAAATAAGTCGGTTCTAACTCAAAAATTGCGCTTACTTTGCTTTTTCTTCTGTTGGCATTGGCTTTGCTGGGGTCCATATTCTGAGAAGATGCAAAAATATACCTAAAGTCTTCAGGGACAAAAGACAAAAAAAATCTTTAATCTACGGTGATTTTAACAACATAACTGGATGTGGTTAAATATACAGTTATGTGTAAAAAAACATATCTCAGGGTTAGCGACTTAAACTTGATTGAGCGCCTCGATATGCTGTGATTTTCAGCTTCACTATCTAAGCTAACAATGAAGAATTGAGCCGAAGTTCAGAATTTTGCAGGCAACTTTACATAATTCCACCACCATAACCTTAAAAAGTTCGGATACGTATCAGAACATCAAGGATTAATCATCGATTAAATAAAACTTCGCCTTCAGGATTTCAATTTAAGCCTGAATTTCAAGTTTAAAAGCCGAACTCGAAAAGATGAATTAAATTAAAAGTTAAAGACGTATGCATTTGGAAGGTGCCAGGAAAAACCAAAATTTAAAATTGTTGTTGATTTTGTGACAACTCATGGGTTGTGCTATGTGGACAGAGCAGGAGGCCAGAGCGAGTATGGATTTTGTTGGAACCACATAACAATTAAGTTTGCCTTACCAGCAAACAAAAGCTACGAAAAACGGGTTTATTTTTTCGAATGTATTCGACTGACACAAGAAACAAATTGTCATGCAGTCCACACAATTTACACTATGGATATGTCCCAGGTAAACAATGATGGTTGCTAAGGCTTTTCCATATTCTAAATTTTTGTGGCCATTTGCCTATTACATTACATTGTTTTTTTGGAAATTTACACAACCAACACTCATATACAATGAGTGTGACTTTCCCCATTTGTTACTGTTATAACTACAAGCTCATTTTTGGAGTTCAGAAGAAATGATTTTATTGATCAATCCAGACAGAAAATTTGTGAATGGGATAGCCTGATTAGTTTTAATTAAAATGTAAATATGAAACAGCTTAAAACAAGCTAAAATTTTTTTCAAACCCGCTGATAATGAAACACAGTCAACACGTAGGCATTCGTAAAGCTCTATTTTAAAATATATATTCAATATTATTAACTGCAACAGAAGACAATAACTTAAATGTTTATTTAGGAACTCTTATACTGAAGTAATGTGAACAAAATTTTCTATCTCTAAAGGAGTTTATCGACATGTAAAAATACAAGGAAGTATCCAAAAAAACTCCCGAATTCGCATACGAATTAAAGGCTTTAACAAAACCATAGTAAACAGAGTTGCATGCTTACAAAGTAAAAATCAATAAATTGTTACTGCTTGACTATTTATGAATTAAAAAATATTTTTAACCAAATTTAACGATAAAAATGACTCGTTTGACTAGTGTGAAGCCACCACATGGCAGTCTTATTTATTAAAAAAAGACTTTTAGAATTACAATTAAATCTAGAAGGGAAGTTTATTGGGCATAAGTAATCAAGTAAACTATGATCCCCACGAAATGAGATATTCAAGCGAGGACTTCTTCAGCGGGAGGTCGTTGTTATGCCACGAGACTATACAAACAAACAAATTGTCTAGGGTATTTAGGCATCATTACACCATTTTAAAATTGATATTTTGTTCTTAAAATGCAATTTAAGTGCATTTTTAAAAAATCCCAATTGCCACATTACATTTGCAGGGAAATTCTGGCAAATTGCTGGTGCATTTAGACATGATATTTCAATATTTTTAAAGAGAGTGATCTGAGAAGCAGATTTTTGTCTTACTGCCCTATAGCAGCATTTCTTTAATTTATTCAGTAGTTTACAACATAACCCTACTAATATGCAACTTTTATTTTAACACAATTAGTTTATAATTCTTCCAATCCAATGTTTCATCTACTTACTTCCGAAAATATAAAGCCGGGTATATGGTCACTTAATGCTTCCTAAAAGCATATGTCAAATAAGATGCGATTTTAATGCCATTTTTGGTCAATGTTGAGATGAACAGAAATATTTTAATGCTACTGCTAGAGACTACAAAGATTATTGGAATTTTCGCACAGCGCAAATAACTTTTCCATAAATTTCTTAACGTAAAAGGTCGATTTCACCAAAGAATCTGACAATGTGCGAATAATTCCCGCTCAAAATCTATCTGTCCATATATTGTAAATGGTTAAATAGTTACTGACTGTGCCTATTTAGGTGCATATAAAATATTTTTTGCTTATTATCTTTTTTTAATTTGTCATTATATGTAGAATTGTTTTGTTTTAACTGATCGAATCTAATTTGTCAGTCTGGCCTTAATTGACGCGGACTTTCGTAAATCTATTCCCTGAATATGGTTTCGTGCGCTCAGCGATGCCGAGATTTTGGGCTAGTACTTTATAATCCTAAAGAGAAGACTTGCTTAAGACGAACGTGCAAAAGCTGGAGTAAATTTAATTTTACATTTTTTTTATTAATTTAGCTCTTATTATCATTTACTTCTGCATATTCTATTCCTGCCTTGCTGCATACTTTGTTGGAGTGCTTTCAGCTATAGTCTATGGAATTACCGATCCAAAAGTTCCTACTTTAACTGGCATGCAAAGTTTGCTAAAACTAAACCCTGGTAAGACTGCAACTGTTTTTGTCTGTGCATTAAACTCAATTTATTTTTTGACACTCACTAACAACGTTCAATTTGATTCACTTATTTTGCAAATTTTGATGTCATTGCTTTGAAATCGAGTATGCGTGTTCCAGTTTGATGTCATGTTTTTTAGCGGATAATTACTTTAAAATTATTTTATGCATTTTTTATTTTAATGATGGCAGACATCTTTTAGATCGTATTTACTTTCCGTTTGTAAATCATTAGACAACAAACAGTGCCACTTTTTGCTTAAGCAACCAGAGCAATTTAAAAAAAAATGGGTGACTTTTAACCCTAGCACTTGCATAATGTGTATATGGAGAAAGGAACCGTTTTTCCTTTGGAACTGTAATTGTGGGTTTTCTGGATGAACATTTTCTTACCAGTTTAAAAGCTCTTGATATCCTATAGTTGATATATTCTTATTCACTTGTAAACTTTTTTACATGCTTTGTGTTACACGTTTGGATTTGCAATTTAAAATATATATCTAGTAAATCGTGAAAATGTAGTTTGGTGTCACCAAATGGCGTTCCATTTTTGTCTACATTAAACAGCTGTAAAATTAACGGATATATAGCCTTTCAAGTGTGATGTTTTTTTTTTCATTTTAAAGGTCTTGGTGTTTTGCCTCCTGTGGACCCAGAGGCTACACTCATGCAAGTTCCAGTGTTCGATAGCAAACAGCGGACTGAGTACTTGGCTTTCATGGAGGAATATTTAAGGCAGTATAAAAACAAAAGCACGAATTGCAACTTTGCGACCGGGGAAAGAGATAACTGGAGTCCTGACGTACCTTGCGAATTCCCACTTGAGCTTCTTGGACCCTGTGCGACGCCAGCAAAGTACATGGAAGAAAACAACAATATTTGTATCTACCTTAAAATGAATAAGGTAAAGTAATCCAGGGAGATTACACTTTCACTCTTAATATTTAAGCTGGCAATCTAATCGTAATTTTGCGTTATTTTTTTTAGATCTACGGATACCTTCCAGATGTTCCCGACAAGAAAGTCCTCGTACAATGTGGTCCTGCTGTAAGTCCTTTTCACCAGCTCCAGCATCCTCTCCTAAAATAACAATTTTTTCAATATGACTTTATTTTTGTTTGTTTCAGACCTCGTTTGATGGCGAAAACCTAAATCCACCGATATTCTTTCCATCAGTGGTGACAGAGAACGGAACATTGTGAGTTTGTTGAGCTTGATCTGTCTAATTGGCTACCCATGCAACTCCGACTTACAAAAAACTCTTTTCGTTTATAGCGGCTACTTTTCATCCGTCACCTTTCCATACCTAAACCAACCAGGTTTTCAGGTGCCCCTGCTCGCAGTGACGTTTCCTGATGTCCGAAAGAACACCGTCGTTATGGTTAGCTGCACTTTAACCAACGTTGGAACCGGTGAACCACTGCGGTTCGACCTAAGTATCGACGATGTCAAATCAATTGCTTTTCAGTAATTGGCACCTTGAAGCCTTGACTGGAGTCCTCTTTCACTAAATCCATCTTCTTAGCGTCGCGTATTAGTTTTTCCAGCACTCAGACAATCTTTCAATGACTGTTTTGGCGCTATAGGCAAATTCATTTTATTTTAACGCCCACTGAGGACTGAACATGTAAGTATATTTGGAATAAAGTTGAGTCTGCAATGGACAGATGAGTTTTTGGTCTGCTTAAGGGGTTGAACTATGGACCTGTCTCAATTTTTCATGAGTCTATCACCAGCCAAGTTGCTTAATTTACTAATTCACTGACCAGAAGTAATTTAAAGGTTTAAACGTTCGACTGGACTTTAGCACATTTCTATCAGCTTCTTAGTTTAGCTTTGGGAAATGCACGATTACTTTAGTTTTCACTTGTGAGAGGTTGCGACTAAAAAACAAATAGCAGATTAAAATGTCGCACCTAGCAACGTTTTTTTTCAAAAAATGACCTTGACTAGCTTCGTAGCGACAGGTTAACATTCGTGACAGAGTTCAATTTGATTATTATCGGGCGAAGTGCCTGTGAAAATGAACACATGTCGTATGCTGTCTTTAGTGGATTTTTGGGAATGACGTCTAGACAAGGTTTATTACCAAGATGAAGTCAGTTGAGTAAAGTTAGTTAACAAAAGCTATGCTTGGCTGACTCAGTTAGAGTCAAAAGGTCAACTAAAGGTGACCTATTATCGAACGCTAGCAACAACCAACCACATTCGAGGTAACTTCATGGAAAAACGGTTATCGGGATTTCGTATATTAGACGGTAAAGACTCAGCCAATGTCTAAACTCAAACGAGTTCGTAGACGTTTACTGAAAAACAACAGGAAAAGAGCCCGTATAGGTAAAATTTTCTGAATATATCGTGAGACGAGATTTATTCTTGGCCATACGCTCCACTGTTACGTGTTTTCCGTGCAAAAATAAATATGCACGCTCCAAGAGAGTACCACTCATGCCTGGATGCCAGTCTTTTGTATTTTTGAAAGAACCAGACGCAAGAATACCAAACCACAAGTCTACGTGAGTTAATGTCTCAGAATAGCAGAGTTTATGATGGCAACCGATAAACAACACATTCGGCCCTTAATTATGTGCCTGCAGTGTCCTTGGTTCCAACGTTGTGTTTAATTTAGCATATAATTATTGGTACAAACGATTTAGAAGTGGCGATTTCGATCCTAGTGACTAGCCGCGTCCCACACAGCCTTCAAAGTATGAAGATGTGGAACTGCAAGCTCTAATGGATAAAGACTCAATTCAGTGTTAGGAGTCACCAAACAGCTAGTTCCAGTCGTTTGCACCAAATGGAAAACATTAAAAAATCTGAAATTTGGTACCTACATGTGTTGACCGAACTCAGCCTAGGTCGAAAGATGATCACATTACTTTCACTGCTTGCCCACCGACAACAGAACAGGACTTCTTGTGGCAAATTGTGATAAGTAATGAAAAGTACATTTTTTACGAGAATCCTAGACGTAGAAAGTCGTGGGTAGATGCCGGGCAAGCAAGTACATTGACGCCAAACCAGAAAGACCACTTGTAAAAGGTTCAACTGACAATACGCGCGCCATTTACTTCCGGGCACTTTGTAGACAGGTGCCTAGACAGGGGTACGAGGTGCGTAAGCTGGTTATTGTGCGTCTGGCGTGGCGCCACCTTGTAGTTGGGTCACACCACCCTAGAGTGAAACCACCCACCCGCGTCCTGATGCCAATGCAACAAATATTTCCGCTGGTGGTTGCCAAAATGTCATCTTTTTCGGTTACGTAGAGACAGTTTCTTGCATTCATTGGAACACTAATGCAAACCAATGACGCTACGACCGATCTCAACTACACTACAAGGCAGACATGCATTCCAGGTGCTAGCAAACCGGACGGCTGGCGGTTTGTTTACCCAAAATCGCTTCTCTAGGCGCCGGTAAACGCGAATTCCCATTTTATATAAACAAATTTAAAAGTTGTGCATGGAGTGGTTTTATTGACAGAGAGAAATAAACAGGAAGCCGTGTTTGCATGGGGCCAACGATCGGGTCAACTTGTAGTGACTTAAAAACAAACCAGCACATGTGCGTTATTTATGCGAAATAAAACGTTGGACAACGCGATCGAAGCAGACCATTGGTTGGTTGAGTGGTTTGTTCATGTGTGCGGTTAGCTTTGTAATTGAAGAAACTACAACAGTCGCAATCGAGCCCGTCTATTTTATAATCATAGGTAGATAATCTTGAATCGATTCCCTTCAACATTTCTCAAAAATGTTCTTAAACTGTGTTTGGTACGTTATTTGGGCGAAGTGAAAAGTTGAACAACATAATGGAATTCGGTGATTGGCTGTTCGACCATTTTCTTCCTTCAGTGCATCACAATGAGCCCGGATATCGGATGCCCTCTTAGTATCCTCTCAACCAGCGTCCACACAGTCCCTACTCGTATTTTGTTGGATAAATTTGTCAAAACCCTTAGGATGGACGATGGTTTGATTTAAAACCCCTCCTCATAAATGATGTGCCACAAAGCACCGTGTTGACTTCCGGTAACTGAGTTACAAATGCACCCGGGGTGGGCGTCTAAGCATCAGATTTTGGACAACCTTGAAAGGTTGACTAGAGCTGCCTCAAGAGCATTGATTTTCTCGACAAAATGAAGTGAAGGACGCTTTGACAATATAATCACCAGTAATAGGATATTCCATGAGGTCTAAATTAGCACAATTAGCATCATCCTAGCCTCAGATGGTTCTCAAGAAAAATTAGGAAGACGCGCATTCGTTAACCATATCGACACAAGAAATGTGTTTGTGCATTATTTCGACGAAATGAAATGTTGAACAGCAAGATCAAAGATGATTGGTTGGTTAGATTCCGTGGTGATCCTGGGAGACGAGCCACTTGCTGAAGATTTTTGTGCAAACCTTGCCATAAATTTTGCGCGAAATACAGCGAATTTCGCCTAACTGCATTGCTACTTAATTTGTCAGGCGCAGTAAAAAACGACCAACTCTATTATTCTTAACTACGAAATTTGAATCTCATTGGTCAAGACTGCTGAAATAAATCACGCGCCACTTTTGGCGTAGAGATCGATGATCTCAGGGGCGGACACAAGCAGTGCAACGCTATGGAAGCTGGTTCGTCTGTCCAACACCCAGATCATTAGAAAAAGAGTTAAAATTGTCTGTCAATAGCCAAATCAGTTGGTTGTGGAGCGGTGCTGCCCAATCAGCATTTTATCCTAAAAGTGTCTCCGCCTAGATGTCTTCGTCTTCCGCCTCTAAATCACGTCGAGATATTCCTTCTGTCCGAAGCACTAACCATTATTCGACATCGGTAGCGCCTTGATACTGACGCGATCAAGATATTCGAACACAACCGTCTGCAGAGTTAATCACCACGTTTTGAACCCAGGGTTAAGCAAATACGAAAAATTCAACTTGATAGAATGTGTTGAGTGATTGGCTAATATTGGCTCGGCGTTATGAAGTCCCTAGACACACCCACAAGTCTAGACTTTTTATTGCTCTTTCGGGCAGGGCTCATCTAATATCGAATCAACTGTTACCCTAACAACGAAAGGCTCGTTTCTGTTCAGTCTTTGAAGTACTTGTGCCCCCCTTTCATCAGCACTGCTCAACGCCAGAAAACTTTGCAGTTTTAGTTAGCAAGACTGCATTGAAATTAACTTTCGTCTCGATCAACCACCAGCTGACCTTGAACGGGGTTCGTCTAAGTCCTGTGACCCTAACTGGTCGGTTCTCGTAGTCCTGTACAATGGAAAGACGACAATTTGTACAATGTTTGGGTTTTTCGTAGGAAAGGTACCTCTGCTAGTTAGCTTACAATAAAGAAACACAAACAATGTTTGATGGCACGTGCAATATGTGTGACTTGGTACAGAATCAGCCCAAGTTTGCAAGTCAGATATTTGAAAAGATCACGCATTCAAGGTCGAGTGAGCGTAAATGCTGCATATGTGCACTCGGGAACCCTGGGATTTGGTAAAACAGAAGACCCACAGATTATTGAAGGATTCATGGAAGATGAATCGTCATTTTAGACGGTTTTATTGTGTCCCTTGTTGAATGGCCCTGACTTTACCGCAGTGTTGAAGAACAACGTCCAAATGTAGGTCTGGCCAATAGGAAATGTCATCTGGAATCAATGAAAAGGGTTCAACAGATGGAAGAGTCGGTGCCGCATGAGCTAGTAGAAAACCACTGAACAGATTGTGGCTTCGTCAGCACTGCCTCACAACCATCTAGTAAGCAGCCCTTGAAAACCGTGAACAGAGAGGAGAAGCGATACGGGACACAAATATTTATTAACTTCAAGTCGCCCAAGTGTGGTCTTGTGTGTGAATGAGTGAGCGGATGACAGGCAACTGATAACAGTAACCAGTTAAATAGGGATGAGTCACTGATACCAGTTGATCAGTGAAGAGGAGATCTCTAGCCGTCTACTGCAGATATCCATCCTTTCCTAACTTGTATCCGATTTGCACTGTGACACTTATTGTGCATCGTGTTTATCCACACTCCTTAATCCGATCGCTGCACCCCCCAACACAGGGTTCCCCTTTTCGCAGCATGTCGCCAGCCGCGCGGATCATCAAGTCCCACCTCATTCGCATGAATACTTAGGTTATCCTCACACCTAGGTCTCGATGTCAGTGCATGTATGACTCCACATCCGAGGTATAAATACACATGCGCAAACCCCACACCCGACACAACGACACCAACGTGGTTGAGCTATGAAGTAAACGGTTGTGTCCACGTCCTCTCCGGTCTTCTTTTTCTTCATCGCAGATATCAGGGAAGCTTAATCGGGCCAGGGTTAATTTAGTGGCCCCGGTGTGGTTCAAAATCACATGCTGGGGTCTACAACACACTCACGAACACAAATCAATGGACATGACGACTCGAAATGGTGTCTTAACTTAAATTTTATTGCGAGGTGGCAGATGTGGGTATTCAACTCAGCGAAGCATTCAGAACCTTTGTCCCCACCATGATTTGTTTGTGGTGGGACTTCGAAGACATCGTTTACTGTACTCAACAGATTGGTGAAAGAGTGGGAGGCATTTGCGACAATATCGATTCGAAATGTCTTTTCTACCCCTGTTGAAATTCGCCTGTCTATAAATAGTTTAAGAATAAAGCAACATTGTTAAAAATATATGTGCTTTTTATGCGCAAAAATTGGGTGGTTTGCAAATCGATTTTTGACGGATGCGAGACGCTCTGATGCTGGTGCTGATTCGAGAGAATACGGATGTTTTATTATTGAAATGGCGTGGTTTTGCTGTCCTCTAAGCATTTACTGAAGTTCTTTCCAAGTAAAGGCCAATTTCAGAGTGCTTGAAACATTGGTTGTTCGACAAAATTGCGCCTAAGGCCCAGTAAGTGAACAGTAATTGATTTTAAGACGCCCTTTTCACAGCGTCCAATGTGAATCGTCCAGAGGACGTGGCATGTGAAGGCTGACTTCCCAGTCAAAATCTTGCTGCAAAATGACTCCGTTTTGATTGAACGCCATCGGACGTCTTTATAACGAAAAGATGCTCGCTGGATGTGGTTGTCTGGACAATCTTGAACTCATGTTGGCTGGATGATATCGGTGGTTGAAGTGGTGTTCAATCACAGGGTAGAATTCCTTTCTGTACATCAAAGGTGTGCAGCAGGTAATCTCACATGCTGAATTGTGTCCTTCATTCTTTTTTTAAAGATCGACCCACATCCTGCGAATTTCCGAGCGATTCGATTTAGCTTGTCCATCAAATGTACCACACAAAATTCCACAGGCGTTTTAGATTTTGATCCGTCTCAGGTATCACTGTGCAACTTAATTTGATCCCAAACCACCTTGAAAATACAGCCTGTTGTGACAAAGCACCTGATTTTGTCTGCTGCCTCTTTTACCTGAGGTGCATCGTCATAGTCCAGCAGAGACTCTAGTCACCTGAGCGCTTTGTGATCTCGTCCACCGGTGAGTCGAAATTCGTGAAAATCCCTTCAGCTACAATGCACAAAAATTGCCATAGCGGAATCACCTTCTGAAGGTCTAATCGACTCGGATCAAGGCCAAATTTCCACTTATGCCAATCGCTTTTTAGAAATGGATTTTGATGAATCGCAGATATGCTGAAGAGGAGTTTTTGCCTGAGTTCCAGGCTAGCATAGTTCTTCCAGACTGGTCGCGATTTCTGAGGGAATCAGTCGTAGTGGTTTGCGCACAGCCGGTGCGCCAGTTGCCATACATAGGTGGCGGGCGAATGAGCGTGACATGCAGCCCACGTGAAACAGGGCCTCGATTTAAGCGACAATGCCCATGATGTGGCGGCACGACGTTTGGTGGAAAAAAACCCTGGGCCAATCAGATCATCGCTAGCTGCAAGCAGCGATGCGTGGTGCTTCGATTTCGTTAAGTGCACTTTTGTTCTTCATTTCTTTTGAATAATATTTTGTAAGATTTAAAAAAAATCTGCAAGAAAATTGGAAAGAGACAGTAAGGGGGTCTGGACACAAGAGTCACCCGTAACCTAACAGATGACCTTGATTCTCTCCCTAATCACAAGTCGACTGAGTCGACCCAAAGCTCCATCTTGATTGGTTAGTACCATCATCGCTGTTTTCTGATTGGTCATTCGTTTCTGAGGTCAGAGTTGAGAAATTGTGAGTGCTATTCACCTGGAGTGAACAGAGTTCTACACGTCATCTCTCTTCTGATTGGCGGTGACAAAAGATTTAAAAAGCTGGATGCAGATCGACGTGTCTACTGCTAGTTGTCGTAAGTGCACCCAAAGAAGCCTACTTTAAGGCGCCACCGTCTACAAAGGAACTGTTCCAGCCAAATGGATGGCTTGAAAATCAATAACTTTTCATCGATTTAAATTAACCAACCAATAAACATAGGTACTGGTTCTTTGAATTGAAGCATTCTCATTGGTTACCGCAGATTTTGAATGATTGAATGGAAGGTTCAGCAGCCACTTCGCATCGACTTTGAAGAACCCATTGAGCAGTCTATTCCACACATTATTTTCACCGATGTTTAACAAGAATAAATTGCGTGTACAGCTGATTGTAGTTTCTGCGGTTAGTTCATGTGTGTGTGTAATTGTGTTTGCTCGAGGCGCTGAATTTTCCACTTGGCGTCAGCGTTTACCGTGGCGGATTTCCGGTGGTGCCGTTCGTTATTCGCCAAATTGTCCTGGCACCATTTGGTCAGCAGCTAATCTTGCAATTAAAACGTTTTCTGTTTATACTTGGTTGTCAGTCGAGGTTGGTGTGATTGGTTCCCGCTTCATTAATTTTCCCTTAAATGCCACAACAAGGCGATGACCTTGAAACCTGGATCACATCTCATCACGAGCAATCCCAGGTCAGATTGAATTCACCTGATAGATTGTTTTAATTAAAAAAATCAATAAATACGTCCATGAGAACAGTCTTCGGTAGTGTCAGATATTCCTGTTCCAGAGAGTTCAATGGCTTCCTTTAAGCACTATTTGTTCATTGTCGTGTGGGATTCTTTTTGTGACAGGTTTTTGCAATTTCCATCATTTCGATTCCACAAAATTATCAAAAAAAACCGGAGAATATAACTCGGGAGAAGTGACAAAGGATTACTCTATTTAGCGATGAAATTGGACCTTAAATTATTCTAGCAATATCTTTAATAATAGTCGCCTGGATTGAGTGATAATATTTGAAGATTGACACAAGTTATTTAATGCTTGAGAAACGTTTTACAACTTCACTTTTGGCGTATTGAAAACTAAAATCGATTTTGAGGGATTTAGTATCAACTAATTCCATCATGTTACCTATTTTGAAGCACAATTTCGCAAAATTCTGCTAGCCCGGTAGCGAAGTGACCAATGACAGTGCTAGACAAAGGTAAATTAGTGCGAGGATGCTCAATGTCAGATTACGTGATTGGTAGATTGGTGTTTCGAAGTCAAACTCCCCCCCATCATAATTCAACCAATCAGCTACTCTGAATTAAGGCATCTACCAGATTCTTCTGCCCTTTATCACTATAAGTTGCGTTATTTACACCACCTTGCACCAATCACTACTCAAAGTGATTTAGTGAGTTTACTCGAGTAAAACCTCATTGGTGGAGAAACGCGCTCGCACGTGTGCGCACACTTTCCACATCCAATCAAAATTAATCTTAATCTACGAATGTCCTCGTGGGCAGGGAATGACCTAGGTTTGTGGTTTTAACGATTTACTGTTCAGGCGGGGTGTTACCAATATTGCTTTAAATGTTTGAAACAACCAATAGGATTATAGTTTAGCTTTACCAATCACTGTCGATAGCCGATGTTGCAATGACCCCATTGATCACAACACATTGGTTTCTCGATCAATTTACTACTTACAAATAACTGCAGTCATGTGAAATTGTGCAAACCCAAATGATTCACGGTTTTTGAACCCATTTTGGTGATGCGGTGAACGCATCCAAAAAATCCATAATCTCATTTTTTTTTGTGTTCTCGTGCTATAGTCCACCACATCGTTTTACAAACCAACCGCAAGTTGACGAGCCTAGCACGTGTGTTTACATTACCTGACGATAACCTTGCAACTTGGTGTTAGCATAAACAAACGAACGCGCGAAAAGACGCATTTTGAAAACAATGATAAGTGGTTTTTGACACGGGATTTGGTACTATACCGCCAACCCGGTGCATTGTATTTAGAATACCACAACTTTCAAGGTAATTATGAGATTCCAATACTCAATTCTACATGGGAACATTTGACAATCTATTGCCCTATATTTAAATAGACATCGTGAAATTGCACGAGCAAGTTCTTCTGGTTTCACAAAACGAATTCTACTTGATAATGTTCATTGCAACGATGTCGGAATTGTGTGAACCAATGACACTTCCGCGGATTGCGTCGGAATCATGATATGGTTTTGTAGAATTCATGTGTTATCGCGAACGTCTCTACTCAGATGCCATGGAATACCAGGAATACTAAAGATGGCGAGGAGGGCCAGGATGTGCTTTGTCGTGTGCCAATGTCGCGCATGATTATTGAATTTGCTGACCAATAGGGTTTGAGTGAATTTGTAAAGGAACAGATGCCAGAGTGACCAGATGGCCAGCGGGGGGGGGGTACGTAGATGAGAAGGGCCCGGCTTGATTGACGTGAATTGACGCTTTTCTTCACTATTCCCTGTTATCTGCCAACAGCAGTTTATTTGCAGAAAGAAGGAGCTTAACGAGGGCCGCACGTCCCAATTCAAATTGACGAATTACTTATGATGTGAAAGTAGTATCATTTAAGTAAGATACGATTGATTAAACTTTAATATACTAAGAACACTGATATTCATGCTATTTTACTTAAAACACAGCTCAACAGATGACCGGAAAAATTTGCCGATCAACATAGAACGAATTATCTTTATTGTGACGCATGTGTTATTTTCTTTACTTACATGAAAGAGTAGCATGATGAGGCAAATTTCCAATTTATACGGAGGAGACTTTCACGAAACTCAGAACATACAACAGCAATGCGTTTAATTAGTGTGTTCGCTAAGTTTGCAACGGGGCCCTTAACCAAGCCCTCAGTTAATTCAAATCCCCCGGGGAATATGTTGGCCAATCATCGTACTTCCAGAAATAAAAGACAAAGCATATTTACTCGAACACCGCTACTTTTAGATGCATTGTCACAATGTAAGTGAAAATCAAATTTAACAGACATAAATCATTTTCTGTCCGAAGAATTGGGAAATTTTTCTACTTGTTGTCCAAGACGGCAAGAAGAAACTTTCTGTAGTGGCCAGATGTATCACCCTTGATCCATTCCTCCAATGATTTGCCGTTTTTCTCTTCGAATATTGCCTTTATACCAGCCATGTTGTCCTGAACACAAAATAGATCGCGTTCAATGAAATTTCGCACTGAAAACGATACAGCCTAAGATGGCCCCATCTAAAAATTTAGCGGGAGAAGAAAACCCTACTGTTGTGTTATTAGTAGATTGCATAAAAAACGCATCACATTACAACCTACCGCCTCTTTAACTATCTTATAACTCAAATTATACTCGACTCTCACGCATTCCTCTCATCTTTTTCCCCTTTCCGTCAGGAGACTTCGACAGCGCACAAAACTGAGCAACGACAATCCTGTTGTGATTGGTTGGCTAGCCAACCATTTGGATTGGTTGATCAGATCGGAGCTCAGATAATGAACCTACCTCAGAATGAGCCAAAACGAGTAGAATTAGACCATCGTCGTCAGTTCCGGCTCCCATCATCGTATCACGAATCAGGTCGGCGACGCATTCGTCTCGATTAAATGCCGTTTTCACTATGTTGCGGTAATATGGAAAAAGATTGGTCAAATTTCGCGTGACCTTGAAGCAGTTATTGTAAAACAAAGCAAGCGAATTATCAAGCCAGTTATCGACATCTCTCACCAACTGTTTTCACTGCTTCTGCATAGTATCCACTGAGTTCAGATTTTATGGCCTTCAGAATTCCATGACCAGATTTCTATAAGGGTAGAGTAGAAAAGGCGCCATTGGCGGAGGATTGTCAATTTAAAAAATTCACTAATTATTAACCGCTAAAATCAAAAAAAGTAATCGGCTACTTAGTGATAATCGAATGATTGCCGTACATTAACCATTCTACTGATGGAATTCTAGCCAAAAGATCACGAGTAGGTAAAGTCGTTACCTCGTAGTAGAGCTTATCCAGAAGCCGAATCATTTCGTAACTCCTCCTTGCAAAGATTTTTGTAAACACAGCCTCGTCGGTTCCAAGCTTTCTAGAATGCAAATAACAAATAATCCTTAACCGTTTTTCTTTTTGTAAATGTGTTACCTTTATTTATAAGTAGACATAATTTTATCAAAGGGAGGTAAAATAGATTATTTGTACGAAACGAAAGATCCGTACTTTTCACCCGCAGATGCGAGAGCCTCGGCGTCGGCCTCAGCAGCCTGGGGGTCCAAGCCTTCCTCCCGCATGCCTTGCAACAGGGCCACAATGAAGAGCTCAAAGTCACCACTCAAATCGCTGCGGACATCCTTTTCAAGGTCACGACGCAGTGCTGGAAAAGAAATAGGAAAGAGCCTGATGAGGGCCACAAGCACCAAACATGGCACTAAACATCAAAGCATAAATAACTATCTACTTAAATAAATAAGTAGACGGTGTTTCTCAAATTAATATCTTTTTGACATTGCAAAGTAATTTCATATTGAACACGACGTCAGATAATTCAAAGTTAGTGTGCTGAACTCACGGTTCTCGTGTTCTTCCTTTATAACTGAAATGAGACAGAAAAAGTTGCGTTATAAGTTTAAATGTTAAGCCATGAACATAATTGGGCCTTCGAATCTAGGCACAAACATGGCTTTTTGAATTGCTAAGCCTTCAGGCCGAATCAGTGTCCTTATAATTTAACAGGGCATTTAAGGTTAACCAATCACAATCACCGAAAATTCGCGTGATTGCCTAGAGCGCAATCAGATACCAAGGTCACCCGAGCAGTATGCAAATGGCTGCGTTGGAAGTGCTTCTGTCTGTGACAGGCGTTATGTTCTGGGTAGCTGCAATCGCATTTACTTGGCACTCATTATTACTGTCGCCCACTCTAAGCGAGACCTTTTTTCTCTTTAAATCTGATTGATCAATTAATGTGCCCATCTGAACGCGCACATCCGAGACCAATAGGAACCCAGGGCTCCAGACGCCCGCGTTCATTGGTACAACCATCTAGGCAATCCACTTAGGGCACACATTAGCCCACTTGTACAAACGCAGAGGGTGTCAGCGAACGCTTTCAATTCACCATCTTCGCGTTAGATTCAAATCGGTTTCGTTTCAAGTCAAAATCTAATACACGGTTTTTTTTCAAATCAGAAGCACTCTGCACATCAACGTTCAGATCTGCACTCAAATGGTCTCAACTCCAAAATCTGAATAGTTTTAGGTCACAAGATCACCGTAACTAGTCCTTGCTTTACCGATCATTCAAGAAATATCACCGAGCTTCAACGTACTGTCTTCGTAAGCACATCGAAGCGCGGCGATTTCTTCATTGTTCATCAAGCAAATGGTCTGAATAATGATCGATTCCTTCGTTCCAGCGCCTTTCATTGCCTCGTAAAGAGCCCGGGCCCGCAGATGGGCCTTGTCCAGGAAGGACTTCAGCACAACATCCTTGAACCGCCCCGACAGCTCCTGTTTGAGGCGTTTCTGGAGGTCCTACAATTGAAATAATCCCAGCCATAGCTGAATCATCAAACCCACTTTGTAGTCAACGTGCATTTTTGAATACAAAAGCCAGTGTCGTGTTTGCAGTGGATCAGAATTCTGCCAACCTGTCCATAGGACGCCTTGTACTGCCTCGCTATCTGCTGTCTTCCACTGACCGTGCGGTATGCTAAGATGTTGATTATGGCATCTTCGTCCGTCCCTGCAATTAAAAACAATCGATTGAATTGCGCACTTAAAGTAGCATTTCCAGTGACAAAGGTTTGTTTAAACCAGAGTGCAGGTATTTGATTGGTCGGAGACCAATCACTTGAGCTGTGTTCAGTCTTGCATGTAAACAAGTAACACTCTGAAGTCACACAGCTTGTTTACTGTAGCAACTACGCTGTGGTGTCATATTTCCACTAAGCGCACACACACACACTCGTGATCTAGAATCAAACCAGGCCCACTTACATCGTTTTTTGCTTCGACAAAACTCATTAGCTTTTAATGGAACTACAACGACTTACCTAAGCCACGCATTGCCTTTTCCAGCGCATCGGCGTCTTCTTGCGGGTTGAAATTTGGTCCATCGAAGACGACGGCCATGGTGTTGCCTAATTAGATAAATTCCTGAATACAGCCACGTCGACTCAAGCCTACTCAGCGAAGAAAGTGCCTTCTGCATTGGCATTTGTGCACCACCAATCTGGCTTACAGTTTTTTCTCTCCAAGCAGTTAATGTTACTGCACATGAATGTTTGAATTTGCCAATTACTGGCGTTTTAATTGACGCCTAAGTTAACTAGGCGGTGGTTGTAAAATTGCGATGGTAGATCACAGTTGGTTTACAGTGTAGACTAAACAAGATATGCGAACCAACTAACCTTCAGTTCCTGCTGCCTGATCCAAAACTGAAAACTAACCTGGATGCGTTAACGCATAAAAACGCACACCCGGTTTCGTTCCGACCAATCACAGTGGAGTACGGCAGTTCTTCATACCTGCACTTTAATCTTTGCGTGCAGTCAGGAGGACACGAGCGGTGATCTTTGTAAAATGAAGCGGATTTCATTCACCTAAAGGACCGCCATTTTGTGGTAGTTGGTTTGTCAAAGCACACAGCAACCTGTGGTTTAATTACGGTCTTTGTGCACTCCACGCCCACATTATAGGTGGAAGCACGTGCACAGCCGATCGATTGTTTGCGCAATGGAGTTAATAAAGGGGGTGCTAAAATAACCAATGCTTTTGCTTGAGCTGCCCACGGGGGCGTGGGATCAAACGTGTCGGATAAGCGATGGAGACACGGAGACAGGAGGCTGCGTGGTGTCTGGGTGATTTCGACGCGAAGAAACACATCACGATCCTCGGAGTTATCATCTCGGAAGGTGAATCAAAAATTAATCGACTTTACGTGATTATTGACGCAGTTTTTGACTTTGTTTAAATCGTTCGTCCTGTGATTTGCGCTCAAAATTTAAAACAAGTTGACCACTCCCCGAAACACCAACTCGGTTGAAAATCGATTGTTATCGATTTTTTTTGACACTTCATAGTATCCTTTCAAACAACTTTCAGCTTTCAGGGTGAATGATCAGGGAACATAGTTTCTTTATAATTTTTTAAAAAAACGCAGTTTATGATAGATTAGAAACCCACTATAACTTGCCAACTCTATATCTAGACAATGTTGAATGATTTACCATTTGTTTAGTTAGGAGAATTTTTGTACATTTTGCAGGCGTAATTAATTCAATTTTAGACTAACTTGAGAATGAAAGTTTGCATTTTTTAAGGCGTTGACCACAGCGTTATTAACTAAGAAACAGTTTAGACTAAGACACTTAACAAGCCGTGGTTAAGTAGGCTTTTTGGAGGGTGGAAACATGTAAGTCGGTAGTCCTCCTGTTGCCATGGCAACGCTTTTATTGCTGCTTTTGCGAATGTGGCCAATCCAAAACACGCATAAACACAGGGCAAAAACGATGTGTACGACAACTAGGTTGAAAATACACCCATTAATGTGTTTTCGCCTAACTTCGAGCCCGAATTATAACAGCATCTCAAAAAAAGGTATTTAGTAATCATTAATGTGTTTTTCTTATCAATTTCTATAACTGCGACTTAATGCCTTGCCGAATCCGTGTAATTTTCTCGTCAAAAAATATCTGTAGGTAGTAACCGATTCCTTCTACAAAATCAGATTATTGAACGGAATTGAACAAAGAAAATGAAAGTACGACGGGTCAAGGTCGTGGGAATACGATGGGAGGCACTAAAGGATTTTCTGTAGAGCAGATTGTCGTCTGGAGTTGTCATAGTGACGGGTGAAGCCTTTTCTATCGACCACATCTGCTCGCCTTGTTTGCACTTAAACACTGTTTAACATTTGCCATGTAATTGCTCTAAACCGTTTTATTATCCTGTTCAGTTTGCTCCTTCCCAGTTAGAATCTGGAGTATTGTATACGTTGTGGGCCCCAGCATGCGGTCTTGAACCACGCTGGGGCTACCGAATTAACTCTGACCCGATTACGCTTCCCTGGTGCCAGCGATGGAGAAAAAGACCAGAGTGGGCGTAGACAACCGTTTACTTCAGAGCTCAACCAAGTTAGTGTCATTGGGCCGTGGGTGGCGTTTGTGCGTGTGTATTTATAGCTCAGATGTGTGGAACAGTATGAGTCATAAATGTGAGGGGATAATTCAGGATACTCGTTTGCGCTAATGAGGGTGAGTTGAGGGTCCGTGCGGCTGGCGACGTGCTGTGTCGGAGGCTGGAGTGATCGGATTAACGAGGGTGAATCAATCCAATTAACAACAGCTCTCCCCCCTAGCAAGTGGGTTTGGGGAACCTTTTCGCCCAACGGGGTGTCAGAAAGGTAGGCCACCCTAAGATTTGCGTTTACCGTTTAAGCTGTTTATTGTCGCAATATTTCTTGTTTAGGGTCTAAGCCATTACCCGTTACTGACGCATTGGGAAGCGTGGATTGCTCACAGTACTTCTGCAAAGTTACTTCTCAGCCAAGGGGAAAGAAATTGGTATAAAATGATCCCTCTGCAGCTACCACACCTGGTACATAACAGCAATACGGCCGTTGCCATGGACTCGGCTTGTTTACTTCCCTGTCTACAGCCTATTTTTCCCCGCTGTGTTGTGATATACTGCGCTTTTTCATCTCCAGTTACCACCTGATTCATACATGGTTCTTTTAGTTGGTGTGTTGGAAGTAAAATGTTTGTAGAAATAAGGTTCAGGGTGTTGGCGTTGTCATCACGTGAGAAACCCCCACATCGAACCTCGAAGCTTGTACAAATTGCCTTACGTTGCGAAATACAACCGAATAGTGTTCATTTAGTCTCACAGCACCCAGCAGATGGACAACCGTTTACTAGACTGTCGCACCACTGGACACGAAAATATTTGTCCAAAATTGGGTGTACGTGAGCGGATACACGCCCACTGCTGGGTGAGTGGGCGGTTTCGTCTGATCGATAGAGATGAAGCGAAAAAGGGGTCAGAGTGGTGGAGAACGCAACGACGGGGTTAGTAGACGTGACCATGATGCACCATATTGGGATGTAGGCGATCCAGATGAACGCTAGTAGAAAAGGGCGCTGCTTCCCTTAAATCCCCATAACGCAATATAAGCGAAACTATAACAATTCACTTTCATTTTAGTTCAATTTGACCTTCACAATCATCAACCTCAATCGAGTGACGTCGTTTAAAACAACAACCACATTTGTCGATTTCGAAAATATGAAAAAATAACGAAAATTTATTTGCTATTATTATCTCAGTCAAAAAAGCAAATCTGTGTTTTTATGAAGACCGGTTAGATTAACGTTTTCTCTCTGTGGATGGCACACAAATTAACCGCGTTAAAGCGGGTGTTGATTGGTTGAACTGCTGTTGCAACGATACATCGACTCAAGGTCAATTAAAATCTCCATTCTCGTATTGTAATTTTGGATCGGCTTCGTAATTGTAATGTTTGTTAAATTGGCGCTCAAAACTACACGGCGCAGATGTGATGAGGTGGCAAAAGCACGTGGCACGCTTGTGCGATCCCATTGGCTGACTTCACACCCGCGCGAATTTCAATTAAACTCTAGCATAACGGCCCTTGTGTGATTGCACTATTAGCGAGAGAAAATAAATTCCGCAGGAAACGGAATCAAAGCACAACTAAGATTAAAACAAAATTTGCAGCACCAATGCTTAAATCGATAAAACCGTTTTTTTCTAAGCTAGTCTAAGAGTTTCCACGCCCGATTTCACAATAACAGAAACGGGCTGATTAGTACTACTCTGGGCTAATCAGTAGCTTGTCCGGTACTTTCCATGGACTACACACTTTATAAAGGGTGGATCTTGGAATCACAAGGTACCAGGAATCGAAATTGCTTGTGTAGCGAACACATGGCGAGTTTTGTGCTATCATCTGGGGCTAACATCCGAATCGCCGCTATCATTGCACAAGAAAATGTTAGTGCAGGTGGAAGCTTCACACACAGAGACCTCGTAGGCATGCAATGATCGGTGTTCGCTGTCGCGAGGCAACCAATCAATTAAAAGCGCGTATTAAACTACCCACGATCTATTTCTTTAATCACAGAAAACCACTGTTAGCCGTGCATCATTTTGTTGGCAAAGATAGCCAAAATATAATTGCTTCCTGAAGTAATAACTGCCAGTGAAACTCGACAGTTACATGGACGAGACGTCATTTTGAAAACACTAATGTCACTAAATCGTCTGGCATTGTGGCGACTAGTGAAATCACCAGGTTTGGCAGAAAAATTTTAACCGATGGAATACTTCTACTGTTCAACAGTCCAAAAAAGCGGTCCACAAGATTTTGTAATCACAAGTAGGAAAGTTAGCACGCAAGAAGTCAAACCACCAACTTAACACAGATAAGGTTAAAATTGACACTTTTTAAGAAATTAAGGTAATTGGAAGTTCAAAATAGCAAATTTCGAGAGGGGCACAGATTATCACAGTCCGTTCAAGGACCAACCAGAGCAACAAGCATTTTCCTGTAGTCGCCTGAGGTGTCGCCCTCAATCGCCTTCACCAGCGGCTTGTTGTACTTCCTCATGTAGGCGTCTTTCACGTCCTGGAGGTCAATCTTAAAGCAAACAGATTAAAAGCCAGAGAAAGCAGGCATTCGTTATCGTAACAACAGATCCATGATTGGTGCCAGCAGTCCATCGCGATGCCTTACCTCACAACGGCCCAGAACCAACCGAATGAGCATCTCGTCACGTGTTCCTAGACCAACCATGGAGTCGTAGAACCATTCAGCAAGCAGGGCGTTCTTGTCCTCAGCAAAACGAACTGCGTTGAAAAAGTTAAGAACGAGCAGCACAACAAAAAACAAGGACATCCATGAAATGACGTGAGTTAGCGACCGATCAGCCCCCAACTACGCAGCCCTCCCATTACTGTTGTTAAGATAACCAGAAAGAGGTCTCCACACAAGTTTTATTCCCGGGAGCTTTTAACTGGGACAGTAAGGTCAAATTCATTCTGTGATCTTGCACGAAAACTTTGCTAAAGAACCAACTTAGTCAACGACAACAACATCACTTCATTCCAAGAATCTCTCTCACTTTAGTCACTAAATTTACTCGTCTACCCACTACAAAGATGATTCACACTGCTGCAAATACGTCATTAACATCACAGCATATTAACGAGATCGACTCCTTAACCACTGACAAAACAAACTCACATTTCATCAAACCGATTTAGTACAAGCATTACTCACCAATCGAAACCATCGTCTTCTCATAGTAACCCGACGTCTCCTTCTTGATCGCTTTCTCCAGACTTTTGCCGTATTTCTGCAACATGAAAAGATACCTTCATTTAGGTGACTGTTAACTACATTTCAACATCAGAAAAGGTAAAAACCAAACCTTTCGATAGCACTCGGAGATAGCCTTTATTTGGCCGAAACTCCTCTGCGTGAGTATCCTCGTGAACACGGCTTCCTCGGTTCCCAAACGTCTAAAACAATTTTGCACTGTCAAGCACTTTGTTCCAGGCTTGAGTCACAGAATTTGTTGTAAGAGAGAAGCCTAGGGAGTCACTTTTGCATAATCTAACTCCCACAAGTATCAGGTGCGTTATATGAAGTTGGCTTACGCGCCCATGGTAACTTAAATATCATTATGGTTGGGAACTTCCATACACTTTACGCTAATCACACCAAAAAATGCACTAGCGAATCTGTTACAAGCGACCTCCTCTTGCAGACCAGCCATGTGTTTTCGAGGCTAACGACAACCAATCAACTGACTCGTAGTTCTGAACTCAAGCCCTCTTCATCCAATCAAATACTTCTTACACAAGATCGGCTTTGGTCTCAACCACCATCAAGGAATGCACCAACGAATCCAAAACCTAGATTAATGAAGAGTTAACCAGTAAAATCATTAGGCACGTACTTTTCTCCGGCCGCGTAAAGCTCATCAGCGTCGGTTTGTGCCCGAGCCATGTCGACTGGGGCGTTCTCCTCGCGACAACCCTGCATCAGGGCGACCAGGATCTTCTCAAAGTCTCCGCTTGTGTCTCCACGAATGTCACTCTCCAGATTACGACCAACAGCTTAATGCAAAATAATATAACTTGACGGTTTACGTAGAGTTGAACAGACACGAAGCAATGACATCTGCGAATTAAGTACTGACGAAAATGGGTATATTCAACTCCGTGAAACACGCGTTTAAAACACACAACTACAAACTAGAGAGGTCAGGTTAGGTCACAACACCGCACCACAAGCTAAGATGATTAGTTGAAAAACTATTTAAAAGGATACACGTTAAACACCAGAAAAATTTGACTACTTCATTGAGTGCATCAATGGGAGACTGTACCACGACATACTCATCCAAACCACGAACTCAACTCACACTATCCTCATTACCTAAACACACTCTGAGTTCGTGTTGCCAAGGCACGCTAATACCACACCAACCAT